GAAGGAATCGGTTAGCACAAGCGTTATGTCAAAGCGATGGAGACATCTCTGGAAACACGTTCCTGCCTTGGACTTGGACTCCAGTAAATTCACTGATGAATGGGACTTGGAGGATTTCTTTGATAGCTTCCTGGAGTCTAACGAAAATCTAAAGATAAAGAGATTCAAGTGGATTTACAATGTTGAAGAGCATTTTCACTCTGCTTTCGTGGCTCGGATCGACCATGTGGTGAATCGTGGAGTTTGTGATTTTACTCTTCTGAGTAAGGTTAATACTGAGGAAGAGTCAGTCCGGATGCCGCTCTCGCTATATTCATGTTCGACTCTCGTGAAGTTAACTCTCTATGGTGTAGTCTTCGATGCTCCTCGATCAGAATTGGTTTCTTTACCTTGCCTCAAGACTATGCATCTCGAGGCGGTCAAGTTTGACGGAGAAACAATTCTTGAGGCACTCATATCAAGCTGCTCTGTTCTCGACGAATTAATCATAGTTACGCATCATGATGATTTTCTCGGAGTTGTATGTGTGCGCTCTCCGTCACTAAGACGCTTTAAACTAGAGTCTATGCGTGAGGAATATGAGGAATGTGAAGATCCTGATGTTGAAATCGATGCGCCCAAACTTGAGTACATGAGCATCACTGATTATCAATCCGAGAGTTTTATAATACACAATATATCTCCTTCTGCAAAGGTGAACATCGATCTTGTCTTTGATGTGGAGGATGATGATTCTATGATCCATGATTTTCTCACCGCCATATCTACAGTTCGTGAATTGACAATCTCTGCGCGAACTCTAGAGGTAAACATGAAATCATACGCTCTGTTAATACAGTTATAATTCATTTTTTACCACTTTCTTATGGTGGACAGTTTCTATCTTTCTAACAGATGATTCATGAATACTCCGAAATGGAAGCGGTATCTCAGTTCTCTAACTTGTCTTGCTTGCATGCTACGTTCTCTGAATCTTCTTGGGAACTGTTTCCAACAGTTCTTGGTTGCTGCCCAAATCTAAACTCACTTCACTTGGTGCGTATCATTTTCCTATGCTTTTTTTGTTAACATATTGAGATTCATATCCCAATAAAGATATAAATTTGTCCTTCGGTTGTATCATCAGGAATTTGACTACCTTCCAAAGATGGAGAAGAATAATCTTTCATTTGTTCCTCAGTGTTTCCAGTCATCTCTCGAGTTTGTTCAATTGAAGGTACCAATCACAGTGACCGAGACACCAAGCAAGATGCAACTAGCAATATACTTTATAAGGAATTGTGTAGTTTTGAAGAAACTGATGCTAAATGAAAGTTTCGGAAACGTCATGAACGAAGTCAGAAAGATTCCAAAACGGGCTAGTGGGTGTGAAGTTGTCATGCTAGCGCCAGCGTGCGAGGATGTTTCTCATGGATCCAGTTTATTACCAGTGATCTACAAAGACATGTTCATTCCAAAAATACTTGATCAGTAATCTAGTGGAAGATATTTTAGACTTGTTGTGGACATGAATCTTGGGTCTGACCAAGACGTTGTTTGTTGTTTTGCTAAGTTGAAACTTGATTTGATCTTCTTTGGTGAAAACTTTTGTAATTTCTCATCGAGATTTTTAGTGTGGAGATATGACTATCACTTGTTTTTCAATTTATGTTTTATTTTTCTTTCAAATATGAATACTTGTACCATGCATTCTTTGTAAATTGCGAAGAATACTATGAAATTGGTTTGTTTTTTGTCAAACATGAAGAAGGAAGAGGTTGCGGAGATAAGGTATATGAATTCTATGAGGTTGGTTAAAAATTACTTATAGACCAGTAAAAATGGTGTCTCTCTACAGAACTGTAACATCATCTCTGAACAAAGAGACAAAAGAACAACCGTCTTCTGATTCTACTGTTGTGTGTTATTATTTGTTTGTTCCTTGATGTATTTGGACAAAACTCAATTCAATACCAAAATCGTCTCTCATTAATTGTTTCTTCTGTTGCTTACTTGGTAAAAGTTGTAACTATGTATCTGTTTCTTATTGTATTGTGTGATTAACATAAATAAAGATCGAACAGAAGAACATAACAAACTAAAACACTCTAAACAAGACCACGTCTCCAACATGAGACATCAAATGCCACACACACACACAGAATCTCGTATTAGAAGAAGGAATGCCAATCTTTCCACTACATTTTTAGTTACCAAAAACTCTTTTCCTCTTTGCTTCTTCTCTGCATAACTTGCTTATAATCCTCAAAAGCAAAACACCTACCACCAAAAACATATTGTGATCTCAGAACCAGGCTGCTTCATTCTCGACACATAGAGCACAACATTGGTAGGTTGATGTCAACGTGTGTTGTATGTATCAGTCAAGTCCTCAGAATCTGGCTTCGGCTTTTGGTTTCTTCATCATAGCTAAGCTTTTGGTTTCCTTAGAGATAGTCTCGACCTTTCTCGTTTCAAACCAGCAATGATGCTCTCTGTTGCTCTCAGGCGGAAGATACAGCCAGTCACAAGGTACATTGGACTTTGAAGTAGTCCATTTAAAACTCTCATGAATGATGGTACTAACATGAAAGAAGACAGTGTTGTGGTTAGTATACTTTTGAGGATCGGATCATCAAAACTTATCGACTCAGGCAATGAGTTGATTCTTTACCTTAATTAAACTCAGCAGATTCACTCACATTAACACAGACAAAAAAAAGAAGGAAATAAAGCCATAGAAAAAAAGGAAACAAAGGCATAGAAAGAAAAAGGAAATTACAGAGAAAAGGAAATCTTTATGTGACCGTTAATTGTGATTCGCAATTTCCTTTTTTTTTGAACCTCTTTGCTTATAAATACATACGCTCTCTCGCTTCTTCTAATTCTTTCCTTGTGAGAGAAATCAAAACTCTCTATTTCTCGCTGCTTCTTCTTCTTCTTCTTCTTCTTCTTTCTAGAGCCAATTATGTCTATATACAGAGACTCTTTGAGTTCCGATGATGATGATGATCCAAGTTTAAAGTAAAAGCCGATGATGATCTCTGCAACATCCGTAAGATTTAGATTGATCGGAAGTGGAAACCATAACATCGTTTCATTGATTGAATGATGCATCTCCATCAATCCTCTGTCGTCTTCAATCTAAATCAAGTTCGACTTCACTTCTCCCAATATTCATCGGATAATGATCTAGCCGCCGAGATGCTTTCACCGGAGACTAAGAGGCAAAAAAGTGGATAACGAAGGAAAACACCAAGATGAGATGAGATGATGGTGAAGAAGACGAAACTTTTGATCACAGAGAAAAAAAAAAGATTCTCAGAATTTCCAAGCACACGGTGGGCTTCGCATGGGCATTTTTGTATGGGCCTTCTTTGCTATCAAATCACTAAGGTATTATTTTCTTCATTCTTATTTTTATTTTATTTTATTTAAAAATTATTTTAAGTAAAACTAAAACTAATTAGTTTAAAATCTTCACTAAAACATCTAATTAAATAAAAAAAATTTACTTCTTAAAAATTAGTTTAAGTGTAATAATATTTTAAAGCGTCGAAAACAAGCCGCGCCTAGGCATCCCGTCCTTAGTTGGTCCGTAAGCTTTGGTGTTCGAAGTTCGGCAATGTTTTCACGTATTATAGATTTAACACTTAAACTTAATTTTAAAAAATAATAATAATTTTCACTAAAATTTAAAACAGATTTAACACTTAAACTTTAAGAAAATAATAAATATTTTTAACTAAAACCATGTTAATTTCACTATTACTTTTTGAAAATTAGTTTAAGTGTTAAATTTTAAAAAAGTCGAAAACAAACCGCGCCTAGGCATCCTGTCCTTAGTTGGTCCGTAAGTTTTGGTGTTCGAAGTTCGGCAATGTTTTCACGTATTATAGATTTAACACTTAAACTTATTTTAAAAAAATAACAATAATTTTCTCTAAATTTTATAACAAATTTAACACTTAAACTCTAAGAAAATAATAAATGTTTTTAATTAAAACCATGTTAATTTCACTATTACTTTTTAAAAATTAGTTTCAGTCTAAAGTTTTAAAAACGTCGAAAACTAACCGAGCATAGGCATCATGTCCTTAGTTGGTCCGTAAGCTTTGGTGTTCGAAGTTCGGCATGTTTTCACGTAATAAATATTTAACACTTAAACTTATTTTAAAAAATAATTTTGATTTTCACTAAAATTCTTTTAATTTCATTAAAATTTAAAATAAATTTAATAATTAAACTTTAAAAAATAAATCCTTTGAACTAAAACCATGTGATTTTTTATTTGAATAATATATGACCAAAATTAAAAATATGTACATCCATAAAGTATTCGAGGCCAAAATTTTGACCTGATTAGTCTTATTCGATAATTTTACCCTAAATATTTTGTGGTGTAAAAGATGGCCTTCAAATTATTTTTGGCTAAATAATCTTAGAATTCTTGAAATTGCAACAAGTTGTTTGACAAAAATGGAAGGTCTTTTAGCTAAAATCATTTTGAATCTTGATTTGATCGACTTTGGTGGAAACTTTAGTAATTTCTCATCGAGATTTGTAGTGAGGAAATATGACTATCACTTGCTTTTTATATCTGTTTTATTTTTCTTTCAAATATGAACACTTGTAGCATGCATTCTTTGTCTGTAGTTCAATCGCAGATTAGCGAGGTACTTTTTGAAAAATTTAACAATACGCAAGAAACTTGCTCTTTGTTTAGATCATAGGGGAGACAAATGATTCTGAGATCCTTTGGAAACCCCTTACGTTGCCAAGAAGGTGTAGACTTCTAAGTTGTTATTCACATAAGAACATAAAGAGACCAATCACTGAGATTTGTCTGAGCTTAGTTTATAATGTGAACTTCCCAGTTAATGTGAAAAGAATTCACAGTTTTATGTGTTTGTCGGAATTCGATGCGAGTAACATTCTTGTTATTACGTTCTCTACTTAACTTCCAATAAAAGAAAATTCGAAAATCCTACATTCAGGCCATGGACATTGAAATAGATGATCATGAAATGAAACTTTTATTAAGTAGGGAATACCTCTGCCACAATAATGATGCGCAGAGGACAAAGAGCAATGACGTTTATATCCCTTGGCACTTAAATCTAAGTACAACAACTCTGGTGACTATTTCCTCAGTATACATACACCTAGTGCAAATATCAAATCAAGCAAGCTTTAAAACCCTTCTCCAACTCCTCCCTGTTCAAATTCTTACCAATGAAGACGATCTTGTTCACTCTCTCCTCGTTTCTTCCCCATAACCGGTCTGGTGATCCTTGAAATATGTCATGGACTCCTTGAAACACAAATCTCTCCTCCATGGTGTGAACCGAGAGGAGACCTTTCATTCTGTAGATGTCTTCACTGCGTTCCATCAGTAACGTCCCGAGCCACATGTTTGCCTGATGGGTTGTAACAAAATTTGAAGATTAACATACGGTTTCATCAAACAGTTGTTTTATATGAGACTTTTTTGTGCCTTTCAAGCTGCTTATTATCTATATTACCTTCTCAAGGTCTAAGCTTCCTTGGCAAACTATACTGACTGAAGAAACACCGGGATCATGGGTGTGATCGTGAGAATGATTGTGATGCGCTGCGGTTAAGAATCAGTGACTGATTAGGTTCTGATGAGAGAGACCAGAGCCAACAATCCATGTTTGTAAAGCTGGAGCATGCAATCAGTATAACAAATCAAGCTTTCCTAATAAATTACCATGTTCATCGTGGTGATGGTGGTCGTGGTCATGGTCGTGATCATGGTGATGATCATGGTCGTGATCATGGTGATCTCCCTTATCGTCTTCATTCACAGAGCTTTCAATTCTGATAAGCAAAAAAACACCTTAATAATTGAGTTAAGCTACAAGACACCAAACTGAATATTATCATAAGTTGAATAAGAAGCAGACCTCTCTAGATCAAAACCTCCAATTCCAAGAACATAATCCAAGTCAACGTTTCCGTACTTTGTCCGCGTCATCTGAGCCATGCTGTTTATTGTCTGTAGATAACCATAGCAAATACGTTAACATGGAACAAGATAACCAAGAATGGTCTGATAGAAGCTGGGAACAAGTAGCATCTAGTGAAATACATGAAAATGAAGAAGATGTAAGATCGACCTTTATGCGTTGCACCACCGAACGTAATTCCGCCTCACCAACAAGATCAGTCTGTAACAAAGTACAATCACTTTTCAGAAATTGGATATGCCAATGAAAAACAATAGATTATGCAAAAGCGATAACTTCCCTATACATTGGGGTAAACATATGGATCCATCACTTAGGTTGTGTCAATACCATTTGTGCAACTGAAGTTATATGTAAACAATAAACTATTTGAGAGAGGAACGGCCTGAATCTTATGATAGAAAGATTCAAACTCTCAAGATCACGAAAACTATCACATTCTCTTTGAGACAGTTGTGCGTAAAAATTTTGGCTACCTTGTTGACTATGATACGATCTGCATAAGCTATTTGTTCAACAGCCTCATTGACAACACCTGTGGGTTTGACCTCATCTAGATGCAAACGAGCATGCTTAGCATCAACTAGAGTAACAACGCCATCCAGTTTGACATCATTGAAAATTTCTTCCTCGGCATAAAAGGTTTGGATAATGGGTGCCGGGTTTGCCAATCCTACGAAAAGAAAAATACATAAAGCATACTCGTTAAGGATGAGTAGCTCAAGAGCTTAGTGGTGATAAATAAAAAAGTTGCGTTTCCCAACCTGTAGTCTCAATGACAATATGGTCGAACTTTCCTTTCTTGGTATTGACTAATTCTCCAATCATCCTGACAAGATCACCCCTAACAGTGCAACAGAGGCAGCCATTGTTGAGCATAACAATATCCTCTGCTCCAATAGATTTAGAAGCAACAAGTGACCCATCAATGTCAACTTCACCAAACTGAGAATTCACATGGAAACATGAATTAGAAAGCAACAACACTATAACTAAATACAGGCGAGGATAATCAACTAACCTCATTCTCGATGACGGCTATTCGCTTCCCATGATCTCTGGTCAGTATATGATTCAGCAATGTTGTCTGGTCATCCGGTTCCAGTATAATTAATCCAACATTTATTTTCAAGAACCCTAGAATGAATATGATATAAGAAACACACTGACCTTGCCGGAGCCCAAAAACCCCGTGATAATAGTAGCCGGAATCCGGTTATCTGCCGGAATCTTAGTGGTAACATCGGAATCTTCTGTCTGCGTAGCTGAGACAGAGACAGATGAGAATCTTCGACGGCGAACCACCGGGGAATAGAATAAAGACGGCGTAGTTCTGACGGGAACGGTGGTAGCTCTGGGCCTGGAGAAAACAGAGACGGCGGCAGAAGAAGAGCGATAGTTAAAGGCGGCAGCAGAACGAGGAGCGAGGAAGGTCGAGGCAATCTCTAGTTTTGATAGCGTCGCCATTTTAGTTTAAGTAAGCGAATCTCGCGAGAGGTCAATGGCGATTGGCGAGTATAAACCCCGTCCCACTGTGTAGCTTCTTCTTCCAGAGATATAATTTTTGTAGCTTAGAGAAGAAATGTCCACGAAGATAATATTAATGTACGTAGATAGTCCATATATATGTCTGTGGGCCGTAGGCCGCAGAGCCTTACTAATTCTTCCTTCGTATCCAAACCTAACTCCATTTTCGAAGCTGCACGTGGCAGTCAATCCTTAGCTCGTGCTTAGGTTCGGAGTGCAATTTCGTCCTTAACTTGCATTGATATTCTTAGTTCGTGCTTAGGTTCGGAGTGCAATTTCGTCCTTAACTTGCATTGATATTCTTTGCAACACTGATATTTCTTAAGACCAAAAAAATCAAAAGCAAGCAACATCGAATTAACCAATTAGGGAACTTGTAAGCTATAGATAATATTTTACATTAATTCATTCACCTTGTTAGAATGCTTTCTTCCCCAAAAAAAAAAACAATAATAAATCGGAAAAGATCTAAAACCCCAAAAAAAACAGAGTAAGGAACTGAAGCAGATCGGTTTCATATCATCATCTCTGAGCCTGGTCAGAGGCAGAAGCTCCAACGGAAGGTGTAGCCGTAACAGCGCTGGCTGAGCCATTTTCAGGCGGTGGAGCTACTCCCCATTTACCTTCTGACTCAAGCGGCTCGAATATATGGACCCCTCCGTCTGACAGACCCACTGCAAACATATTCGATTCTTGCGGATGAGCCGCTATCACCAGCGGATGGACGTTCGAGTTGCTGCACAAACATCACCATCACGGACATTCAAGATTCAACAACATTATTGCACTCTTTACATTCATTCATTTGCTTTTGTTACTCACCTGAGAGAAGCTGGCAAATATGCAGAGGGATTGACTCTGCAACGCAATCGAAGGTTTGCAGAGCTGAAGACACATATCGTAGCGTCCATGAAACTTGTGTATATCAGTTGGCTATCACATGAGAACGTGGCATGTGTGATTGGAGCTGATGATTCACGCACAGGCCACTGGAATCAAAATTAAGACATTTCTATAAGGGTTTTTCAGATGCAAGGAGTGAGAAAGAAAGAGAGAGCGAGAGTAATAATTACTAAAACCTGTTTCATGCATTCAAGCTTGGTTGTTTCGTATATAGCGAGCTGAGTTTCATGGACCACAAGGAAGTGTACTTGATCTTGATGAAACTGAACACGCGTGTCTGACAGAGCAGACGTCGATCTTCCCTGTGGAATTTGCAGGACCTTGCTTTTCTGCTTCTCCCATCCATCCGTGTTCCATACACAAAGCTGCATAGACACAAAAACCAAAAGTTTTACAGTAAGACTTCTAACGATTGAGATTCTTGATTACAAAACATGAGATGAAACAGCACCTGAGCGTCTGCTCCAGACGAAACCAGAACGTTTAGTACATTGGAGAAAGCGAGGCCGGTTATTCTCTTAGAGTGTCCTTTAAGCTTGCTCTTAACCTCATCAACACGAACATTGTAAATCTGTATTGTACTATCATCCATCCCGATCGCAATGATATTGTTATCTTGAGGGTGAAAAGCAAGAAACGTTGCAGCAGGGGGCGGCGGCATGAAAGTAGCCATTGTCTGCGCTTAGCCAACAACACATTTAAATGAACAGATGAAGATTTGTTTGCATACATTAGACTTAGTGCTGTCTCAAGCTGAGATTCTACCTTAAACGTCATCATATTAAATAAAGAGATCTTTCCTCCCGATGCTGACATTACGTAGGAATCATTTTTGGACAAAGCAAAACATGGTACGGCTTCTTCTGGATTAGTTTCAACCACATCGTTTGTCATTAAGATCCCGCTCGCTGGTTGCCACTGCTGAGGAGGTAAAGAAGCCGTTGCCTACACAAAATCACAAATTGAATTTCATCATGATTTCACCTATTTCAGAGGTCATAAAGGCAGATTTTAGACCATATGTACCTTTCCAGTTGCATTACGGTCATTTCGCTGCCACTTCCATAGCAGATGAATAGCATTTGATGCCAATGCCAAAATTGCATTTCCCGAATTTGTGAAAATCAATCTCGATATCTGCTAAAGTTTTGAGTCATTAGAATCAAAGCCATATGTATAAGTGCAATTATGTCAGTCTCTGTGTTGGTACCTTGGTGGCTCTCATATTCTCAGGGAGTCTCAATGAACGGCATTGAGAGGGTTCGCCGAGTTCAGTAAGCTTCCATACCTTAGACTTATCATTTGATTCTTCAGTGATCACTGGCTTCACATCCACCATATTCCGTGAATCTCCATTCTGTTGAAACGGTAAGTGAGCAACGACGATGGTTGGACACAGACCAAAAGATAGAGAAACTGAAGGAAAAAAAATCGATTTTCGTACCATTCCAGGAATGGAAACGACAGAGGCAGGTCTTTCTGCCACCGGAATGCTGTTAATTGCAGGCTGCAAATGTAAATGACAAATAAAGTGTTGAAGAAATTTCAAATTGGGGGTTAGTCATTTGCTTGTTGAAGATTTAGTGAGCAAAAAAAAAGTACCTTGGAGGATTCAGAAGATAAGTTCTCGACTGTGTGCAATAGCCTAAGACCATCTGAGTTTGCCATAACCTTAATCATATTGTCATTTGCAGAAACGGCCAAGAGAGAGCCTTCCTTGTTAAATCTGATCCGTGGACTTGCCTACAAAATATAGAGCCACATGATGGCTGCAAATGAAAACATTTGGTTTCCAGGAAGAATTGAGGTATTTGTTTACATACCTGGAGACCTCCATCAGCATCAATGGCAGTCAAAAGCTGTATAGTGTCCATATCCCAGAACTTAATGGAGAAGTCGTCACCCGCAGCGAGATAACGGTTTTTAGTAGTATCAAACTGCACAACACCAAGAGAACGCTTGTGAAATCCTTGATAAGTTCTCTTAACTGCTCCTTCGCTTTCATTCCACTCAACTATGAACGATTCCCCATCTTTACTCGTCCCACAGGAAAATAGCCTATCCATACGAATAAAACAAAAATTAGACTTTAAATTTATTATCACATCACGACGAGACAGAACAGAACCACAACATAATGATGTTGAGAATAATGTGATAACCTAGTTCCATCAGCACTGTAGGCCATCGTTGTACACCAGCGACCAGGAGCTTCATAGTCAACCCGAGAACCCATATTATCATATAACCATGCTTTTATTTTCCCATCAAGCGCAGTTGAAAAGATGAACTTGAGCAAAAGAAGAAATAAGCAAAGTCAAGACCAAAACCAAATAGAAACGAATTTAAACTTGTACTAAGCAAAAATGAAACCGTTTAAATATTGCTACTTACCTGAATGTTTTCCTTGTAGTGAGGGCAGATAGAGTAAACAGGAGCTTCATGGCCTTCAAAAGTATGCCGTTTTACACCCGTTGCAGCATCCCAGACCTTAATTCAAAGAATTGATTAGTCCTGTTTTTAGTGTTCCAACAAAAAAAAACAAAGTTAAGGAAAAAAAGAAAAAAAAAAGGACTGAACCTTGATGGTTTTGTCATCACCACAAGTAGTAACACATAGTTGCTTGTTCGGAGTGGAGAATGCAATGTCATTGACACCGCCAACATGAGCATCAATCTGAATAATAATAATAATAATAAATGCTTTTAGTTACAGAAAATGAAAGAAGTGCTCCTAAAATGTTGTTTTAAATTATCACACCTCGAGGTGTTGCCTCATATCTTCACCACCGTGATAAGAGTATAGCTGTACAATATGTCTTGAATAAGCAACTCCTGCAATTGAAAACGCGCATATGAATACCCAAATCAGTAGAAAGAGCATTTGAAATCTCAAATCTTACCGAATAGGGAACCATCCGGGCTCCAAATCACACGGTTGACTGAAACGACAGGTTCTTTCACCAAAGCAGCCTATAAAAACCAGAATTTTTGGTCACTGAAGTTTCAAATAAATATTAGATATTAAGATCTGGTTAGTTTTCATAAAAGAACCTGCAAGGGCATTGAACATTTACTCAAGTCCCAAACTTTGAAAGTCTTCTGGACTAGTCGTTCTCGAGAACCGACTTCCCAGAGCCCAATATCCCCTACATTCGTACCAACTGGAACAAAGAAAATTGAAGCAAGAAGCTTCTGATGTTACAAATTTCTGATGATGTATGTTTCATGAAATATGCATACAGAGCAAGAAACAGACCTAGTAGCAGAGTCTGTTTAATAGGATGGAAATCCATGCTCATGGGAGATGAGCCTTGGCTCAAAGTTCGTGCTACTGTCTTGGGCAAGTCATCAGGTGCTTTGAAGGTTTGATTATGACCATGAGCCTGTCCCGGGAATGTCATTGGTAACATGTTGACACCTAGACTCACCTACATATGGGGAGAAAGAAGAAATACGTCTAAATTCTGAACTAGCATAACCAATTGAGTAAAATTGGTATTGATAAGAAAATACATAATATTGCTTTAGATTTTTGTCACCTCGTCAGAGATTCCCATAGGTCTTGTTCGCTTTGAGACATGGTCTGAATCACCTGATGGATAGTCTACAGCGGAATTAGTTGGAGGAGTTCTCGGGTGCTTCAAGGCTGCTAAGACCCAAAAAGGAGAACATGTTACATAGATCACAGGTGAAACTTAACGGTTCTGAAAAAAAAAGGCAAGGATAAAATTTGAAAGACTATAGTTCCACACAGCTTTTTGGAAGAAAAACCACATTTGATAAGCAAATTACCTTGGATGGATGGAGCACCAAGAGCAATGGCTCCTCCAGACACAGCTGGATGTGGGACAGAGGAAGGACTAGACATCCAACCAGCAAGAGGTGTAGGAACAGGAGAAGGTGTTGGTTGAAATGGCTGAAGAAGACATAATCAAGCACGGCATGTAAAGGTAACTATAGAGCTAGGAGCAAAATCAGAATAAAGTGCACTTATAGAAAAAACAAAAAACGGCTGGAAATTGACCTACCCCGTGTGCGCCTAAAGGAGGAAATCCCCCGGCTTTTGGTAATGATCCAAGCAGCGGATTGTTGACAGGGGATGGTGCTCGTGCATCATTTGGTAGGCGGCAGGAATGATCCACAAAGAGAGTCTTAATATCAGGATTAGGCCTTGGGTTTTTACAAAGCTGATGTTGCCAATTTAAGCTGCATGTAATGGAGTCACATAGAAACAAGGAGTTAAAGCAGCTGAGAAATGAAAATTAGTTGGAAGTGAACAAGAAAGGACAATCAATACCTCTGATTAATGAGAGTCCTCAGCCGCGAATTTCTAAGGGTAGGAAACTGCAATTTATCACGGAACAATGGATTAGCTTCAATCAACTTCTTGAGTTCCACCAACATGATCGCTCGGGCGGACTTAGTGTCCCCATACTTGGATAACTGCTCGTTCTCCCTGAAGTAGAAAGAGTTAAACTCTTTTGCACAAATGTAAGGTTAAACCTGAAGTTCTTTAAAACCCTGATGTGGCTTACCGGAAGTTTTCTAAGGTCAAGAGCTGAGTGATTTCCTTGAAAAGCTCCTCATTAAAAGTGGAAAACACTTTCAAATCTTTGACTAGAATTTCCACAGCCTTGGGACGATCATGCCTACAAAAAGCAACCGGTGTGTGTGAGTCGCAATATGAAAACACAAATCTTATTGTTGTTGACAGACAGACAGAGACAACTTACTTATCCAAGGCCTCGAGATACTTCTGCTTCCTAATCTCGAAGAAAATCTTCATGGAGTATCTATTATCATCAACTTTGGTAAAACCAGAGAGATACCTCTCAACCTCATCCCAGTTACCATTGTGGACCTCATCCTCAAAATACTTCATATTGAAGAAAAACCCAGATTCTTGTTCAAGCCTAATTAATTTCCCACAAAATCAATCAAGTTAATGCATTTCTCGCCTAACAAAATGACGGATTAGAGATCGGAAAGAGGACTTACTTATGAACAGTCTCTTTGAACTTCTCTTCATCTAAAAACTGTAAGATCAAGAACACGAGCTCTCTGCTCAGAGAAGACATGATTATTTCTTCACTCACTCCGATAAGCTTTCAAGTCAGATGCAAGAAACCCACCAGATCTGCAACATCAAATAATGGCGACGATGATAACCTTTTAATGAACAAACATCAAATCATCCAATTTTACTGGCTTTCAAATATTCCTGGATTTAATAAAAAAAATTTTAAAAAAATAAAGCAAAAAAAATGGGAGTTAACAAAATACACACCCTCTTAATAATAACTAGATCTTTAAACTATCTCCGGAAAATTCTCCAAAAGTCTCTATTCCGGCGGATTTAATTATTGTTTAATAGGGCAACAAAATTTGGGGAAAAATTAGGTCTTCCTAGTATTATTATAGTCCATCGAATTTAATATAAAGCTCTAATGGCCATCTTTTTCACTACATGAGAAAAATTAAAAAAAAAAATCAAAAGGGATAAAGCAAAAAACCCAGAAAAGCTACCATTCAAAAAAAAAAAAAACTAGATTCCGTTATCAACCAAAAGAAGCGTGAAGCTTACTTACCATGAAGACGAAGAATAAGATCGATTTCAGAAACAAAGGCCAGAGCTTCAGTTTCTCTCTCCTCAAAATGAAAGAGCCCAAGGATTTTTTTTTTTCTCTCTCAACCCGAAAGTGAGAAAAAGAAAAACAAGTTTTCTCTCTCTTCAGGATTATTTATACGAACATTAAAATCTTGCAGAAATGGAGACTTTAATTTAAAACCCGAACAAAAAAAAGTGATTTTAATATGCGAAGGTGACGGATAACGGAGTCTAATAAGACACTGCACCTATTACATGATAAGGAAGCTGATTTTGATAAGCGGTACTACTTATATATAAGTACAGTTAAATCAGAGCATCAGACTTAGCCGGCTACAATTCTCGACGTTATCGGCTCGGAATCTCTAGCTGCTAGCTGTACGACAAGGAGACATGATCGTCTGTGTCGCGACAGGACTACACCCTCGGTGAATACCGTCAATCTTGTACGATGAACCTAAAAGGATATTGATCCAACGGTTTTAAAGCGAAGTAGCTGCGTCCCCACAGATCCCTCATAACACGACAAAGCTTTTCCTTCTGAGATGCATCTTTAAGTTCCATTGCCCTTGAAAATGACAAATATTACCTAAATTGCCATTAATTCTTGAGATGCGGTACTCGTTGAACAACAATCACGTGATTGAGAGATAATGGAAGAGGTTATCACTTAATTCTCCCGACATGAGAACTCTTAGGCCTTCTCGTGATTTGGAGTCGTTAAATATTTCTGTGATTCTTTTAATTTCTAATCATTTTCTATAATTATATACGAGCCTCATTTAACTGTTTTGGATTGTTTTTATTAATCGCCAAATGTCATGTGAACTACAGTATATTGACTATCGAGTATAACGAGCCTCAGTTAACTGTACAACTAATTAAGACAAATAATTTTGTTTGTTCACACTTCACAGCATAATTGGTATTTCATCGATAGTTGACGCCTTGACGGTTTAATTACAGTGAACTAATATGTTAATTTTATAATGTATGATGTATCTAGTGTTAATATGTGTTATTTTATATATTCTTTCACAAGAAACATGGAGTTTGACGTCATTAGCGTAAAGTTTTTTTGGCACCAAATGAAGATAAATATAGTATTTGTTTTAATTGCTCAAGAATGATAATGGTTTCTTTTGCTAAAGTTATGGGTGCACAAGAAAAGTATAACTTTTGAAAAGCATATTTTTATTCTTTTAGTTTACACGGTAACACGAGTATCTCTATTTTTCTAGTAATGCGTATACTTAGATTTGATATCTTAATTATTTGGATATTAGTTCATTTGCCGATTTAGCTTTTTTTTTTAATTTAAATATACTAACATGGAATGCAAGAAGATGCCAGAAATCCAACATAACAAAAAATTATGATTCAGTGATTTTCGCCTGACCTAGATTACGGTCGTAAGTTTTTAAAAAAATTCGAGTTTATTGGAGTATATTTTTTTCAAAGAATTATTTGGTTTGATATGTCAACGTCTGTATTATCAATCAGAAGTTAGTAAGGAACATTAACAATGAAAAGGAAAGTTATAAATTAAGATGTCAATATCAGACAACTACTCGTCAATCCAGTATGATACGTTTCATTATGAGTCACTAGGTACATGTGCATGATGTAATTATTACTTATTAAACTGATTATAATTTTCAACAAAAATGCGATTTGGTTTCCAAATAATATTTATTAACTATACACATCATCAATGACAAAAAAAATTGTTTGCTACAACGTCAAACTATTTTAAAATGAGTAGATTTTTCGATAGATCCTCTACGATCTACATAATTACTTAGATATAAATCTCCAGATCAGAACACAAATTGTAATCGACTAACAGCGAAATATAAAATTCTGACTAACACTAGAACATCCTAAATAAAATAGATATGTTTTATTTTTTTAATTGGGCAAATGGTCATCAAAAGTTGTGGAGAAGTGAATGGTGGTCAGTGTTTGTTCACTGCATCTTTAAATTTTTTCAAGTTCTCCGGCCAAAAAGCAGTGCACGTTGGTCCCATCTGGACGGTCTGTTCAAACGTCTAACGGGATAAACTAAATTCTTATTTACGGGAGATATTATTAAATCATTCACGATGCTATCAAATAAATTCCAATAAGAAAAAACAAAGTCAATTATAAAAATATGTTTTCAAATAATCGGGCCACATACCGATTTTTTTTTTAAACAAGCCCTTGGTGTTTCTAATAATTTGTAACTATTTTAAATATTAGAGTCTACAAAACCTTTTTTAGGTCAATGCTATTGGTTTGAAAATCTGTAACGAATGGAAGGAAATAGTGTCAAAGTCTAGTAGTGAGTATGTTCATCAATTACTAAAGTCCACTCAGGCTTTGAATGGTTGTCTAGTATGCTGCAGAGCAGACTAAAATTGGATTAGTATGCACTTAATTTACCATTCACTATTGCATACTAGTATGCACTATTGCATACTAAAAATCTCCATACTAGTATGCACTATTGCATACAACTCCATACCATCATAAATTCACTGTTAGTCCGCATTTTTTCAGTCTACTCCCCAAAAACTCCATACCATCATAAACTCTATACCAACATACAATTGTCTGCTCCATACTACAGTCTGATGTTTTGCATACTAAAATATTGGTATGCAGTATCCAGTCCGCATCATACGGACTAACCATTCAAAGCCTAAGTATTAATAAAACGCACTATGTGAAACTACTACAACTATTATTGGCTATGTTATTTTTTTGTACTACTTGTTTTGTTTGATCGTGGTTAGTTTTTTAAATTTAAAAAACCAAAACTTTAAGTTGATTAATAAAAGGAAAAAAAGAACGTACATGAGAAGGGTGTTGGGCGATTGGTTACTTTCCACTTATGTATGTCCTCTCTCCTCTTAAAAAGCCTAATTGCTTTGCTATTTTTATACTACCAGTCTTCAATTTATCAGCTTCTTCTTCTCTTCTCTTCTCATATCGCGGTAATTAAAGGCGATTTATTGATTGCTTTCTGGGGAGAAGTTGTCGGTTGTCCCTTGCCATTATAATGTGACTTTCTGAATTTTTTTAAGCCATAATTATTTGCACTATTTTGTTTAGCCCAAACGAACTGAAATAAAGATAGATAGACTAAAAAAAAAAAGATAGATAGACTAATTTCCACGTATCCAAGACATTGCCGCTAACTATTTGTTTTTCTCTTATCGCTTATGACGACGACAACGATACCATCAAAAAATTGTTTTGTTTAATTCGTTTATCTTTTTCCTTTAAAAAATGTTTCCCAACGCCGCTTCGGTCGATATTTTGTCTACTATCAATCTGTATCATATGTCGACGTTTGAAACTTCATTTTAAAGATATAAAAAAGTTTTAATGGTTGTACCGAATTAAGCCAACGATTTGTACATGGGGATACTATTTTTTCATAAACCAAATTATTGTTTTCATAAAAATAGTGCACCACTACATATCAAAATTTATTGGTCTTCACCGGAACCAGTAAATATTACATAAAAATGGCATTTTTGGTGACGGAACAGTGAAGGCACCAACATTAGACATGCTGTAAAAAAATCCAGATCAAAATATAGCTGAAGATACCGTCATGTTGTAAAAATGTTAAGGATACAATGGGCTTATTAAAACCCAATAAGAAACAGTGACGGGCCTCGACATTTTCGTTGTTGATCTTCCTTCATCTCTAACGCACTGGATCAAGTAAGAATATTTTTTACTCTGAGATCTTGTGATTTCTGAAGAATTGGCGATTAATCTCGCATTTGATCAGAGTCTCTCTGGCATCGTCTTTGTTCTCCTTCTTCTTCTACATTTCGCGCCCAAGCCTGTTGTGCGATCCTTGTTTCGTTGTAGTTCCTGAAGCTCCCGTGCCTTGGTTTTGCTAGACGTAAGTCTCCTCCCTTTTCCATAACCCAATTGTCGATCTCTGTTCAAGTAGATGATTTACCTCGATTAGTCTGGATTTAATCGGTCGGTATCTGGACGAGTTGTTTGATTGTTTCTAATCTACTTGTTGTGTCCTTTTGACGAAGAACGCCTAGTTTCACTTATCAAGACAAGGGGAGCATTGTTTATACACAGATGTTGAATCGACCAATTGACCTTACACTTTGAGAAATGGGAACACATTTCTCTGCCTTTATCCTTTAATTTCATAGCTAGTTTCTGGATTAGGAGATGAAATTTGCAGTTTCGTGGATTTGATAAGTTTATAGCTTAGATACTGAAATTTGATAGCTGTATTTTTTTCTTTTTGATTTTGTGTTTCAGGGAGCACAAGATCTAGTTTCTTCTAGTTGGAGACGAGAGATTGAATGGCTAACACTGCCTGCTTTATCATTGTGGGTCGGAATGATATTCCCATCTATGAAGCTGAAGTTGGTTCTGCTGCCAAAGTACATTACTTATTCCTGCTTTTTTGCTTCATTCTCCTCACTTTTATTTTTGCATCCATGTTCCGTTAGATCTATAATCCTAGGTTCGGAATCTTTAAGATGATAGAATAAATTCCACAACATACCTCCCTGCTCCTTCTTTTGACTTTGGTTTCCTGGTCACAGTTCAACACTCCATATTTAACCCTCTGAAACTGTCACAGAAGAGGTGCAAAGATCATTTAGCTTCCTTCGGATTGAAATATCCAGGATAAGAAATTTGATTATCATTATAGTTCATTTAGCTGCTGATGTGAAAAGGTTGGCTACTACTATTGATCAACATCTTTTTGGTGTAATAAAGTTTCACACTGTCTTACATTTTCGTGAACAAGCAAGCAGACATTGTTCTTACTAAGGTCTCAATTTTTTTTAGTTTTCTTAAGATCATGTAAGCTTGCTGAACAGGAATTGCATGACTAATCGGTCTCTGGTCTATCGTAGTGTTGCTTATACTTGATTGATATTGGAAGTGTCTCCTTTTTGGTTTGATACTTTCATCTAGCTGGTAGATATATGTTTCAACCACGATAGCAATTAGTGTCTTGTCTAAGGATAGCAATTAGTGTGTTGTCTGACGTGTAAGTGGCACATCAGTCTCTCACACCATTCTTTCTATTTGGCAGAGAGAAGATGCTGCCCAGTTGCACCAATTTATATTACATGCCGCATTAGATGTTGTCCAAGACCTAGCATGGACTACAAGTGCCATGTAAGTAAAGTCCCTAGTGAAAATTTCGATTATGTTTTAAGGATTCATCTCATTATCAAATAACTACTCAGGTTCTTGAAGTCAGTAGACAGGTTTAACGATCTGGTTGTGTCAGTGTATGTTACCGCAGGCCATATCCTTTTTTTGTGGAACTAATTTATAGACCCTATGAAATTCAAGTGCAAATAAATTTGCTTCTTCTGATTCATAGTGTCAACGTGGTAGATTCATCTCCAGTTGTAAATGTTTGTTTCTTCCTTAATTTATCAACACATACTCGACTGATGCTCCTTCATGATTCACGGAATGAGGACGGCATCAAGAGCTTCTTTCAAGAGGTGCATGAGCTCTATATAAAGGTAAAATTTCTTGATAAATGAATTCGCAGTTGTTGGTTCTGTCCTGATTCGGTTTCATCACCACAGGGCCGGTGCGGTATACCTAAATGCCCTACGCCACTAAAAAAAATCATGTCCTTTGTAAAATTTTTTTTTTCCTCGCATCACAAATAAAATTAAAATAAAACTCATATTAAACTAAAAAAGCAGTAATTAATTTCATAAGAAGTTTGTAAGGAAAAAAAAAATATATTCTCTAAATATAGCTCTATTTAGACTTTTACCAGCAAAATCATTCATCAAACTCACGTAGTCGAGCTTTTCAACCATAGCTGTCTCAATGGATAGTAATGCCAATCCATTTAATCTTTGTAAATGTTTAGGGTTTTATTTTATTTTAAGCCAAAAATTTCCAAAAAAAATTCATTAACGACATATTAATTAACATTTTATTAATTTAAAGGCATAAAGTCCATAAAATATAGTGAAAATAAAGTCCAAGAAATTTATTTTTCAAAAAAAACTTATAATTTTTTTTTAACATATAAGACCCTAAAAAAAATTCTAAAATATATGTCCCCTTTAATTTGATGCCCTAAGCCATCGCTTCACTTGATTGTGTCATGCGCCGGGCCTGCATCACCATCATCAAAATCGTTTGTTCATGCAGATTCTACTGAATCCCTTGTATCTTCCTGGTTCTCGGATTACGTCGTCACATTTTGACACGAAAGTACGTGCACTGGCAAGAAAGTATCTGTAGAGAAGAAGGAGATTCTGTTTGCATTTGGTGGATGAGGTGCAATGCCCAATTTTCTCTTGTATCCATATCGCATAGTTCCCAAGTCAAATTTGTTTCTCTTTTCTTTTTGGGTGCCTGGATTTCTGTTATTTATAACTTGCAAGCAACATTTTGATAGTAATGGGATCCTTTGAGCAATGGTCCATTCAATTCAATCTTTGGTTTGTTATTGTATAAAGAAAAGAGAGACTTTTCCTCAGAATTTATGGGAAAACAAGCAACATGTCTCTTTCTTAAACACGACTAAAAGCCTAACATAAGTAAATGTGAAACATTTTAAATGCAAATCCGCAATTAATAAGGTACAAAAAAGTCTTTGGCTTCTCTCAAAACCTAATAGCCGCCTCAAAAACCTAGATCTATATCTCGCCGTTTACGGTGGCCCCGTGTGTGTTTAGGCTTTAGCTTTGTTTGTTCTTTCTTTTCTTTTGCTTTGTTTTCGATTACCTCGAAGTTTTGATTGCGATTTCAGATCTAGAAATGGAGCTGTCTTTCAATGTCATCTCTTTGGTTCAGATGGAGTTGATTCGACTGGTCTATACCTTTGCCATTCGAGTCGATTCTCTGGAGTTGGTTCAACGGAATTAGAAATGGTCCAAATCCGAGCTATCTCTGTTTAAGTGTTTTTGATTTTTCTCTTGCCTTTGGTTTTGCATCGGTGTGAAGTCTTCTCGTGGAGGAACAGAATAGATTATCATCCTCTCTTTGAAGAAGTTGTTCTCGGGGCCCTTTTACCTCGCCCAGCAGATGAAGGTTCCTCCTCCCCGCATATTTAAATAAGGTTTTCAACTGGAGCATTTCAGCAGCTGTAGCCTCGTGTCTTCCCCTGGATTGGCTGAAGCACTCCTCAAGAGGTACTGGGTTGAGTTTCAATTGAAGATTTAGCGGTCGAAAAGGGGTGGTTTTTTTTCAATCTTTGGCTGGTGCTCTTCTTCATCTCGGTTCTACAATTTCCTTGTTAATCTGTTTGGCTGCTCTATCCATTCTCTCTCGTGAGCGTTTTGTGTCTGTTCTCCGAGTTTTCTTCTTTTGTGGACTGTGTTGTCGTCTGCTTGGGCTTGGAGACCCTTTCCAAGCTTCTCTTCCGACTGCTTTTATTTGGTTTTTAGAGTTAAATCCGCTTTGCTTTGATGGTTTTGGTTTTGGTTTTGGTTTAGAATTGTCTGTTTTGGTTGTATGCTTCCCTCGTTTGGGCGTATGTTTCCCTTATCCTTTGGGGCTCTTGTTTCCCTTAATCGTTAGGGCTCTTGCACTCCCTTGTTTGGGCTGATGTTTGTAATATCTGGATAACTCAATGAATCAATGAATTCTTTTTGACGAAAAAAAAAAAAAAAAAAAGGTACTTTATTGAAGTTAAAAAAGAAGCCACGTGTGAAGTTAAAGCACCAATAGGAAGATAGAAGTTTCCTCTTTCCTCCCAAAACAAAACTAATCTCTCTCTCTCTCTATCGCTCGCCGACGAGGCAGGAAGGACGACCAATTGAGACGTTGACCCTTAATCCGATTTGATTTTTTTGAACAATCTCCTCTCTCTCTCTCTCGTAGAAAAATAAAAGTCTCTTCTTTCGTCTGCTTCGATCTCGGATATATCTGTAAGTTTATCTTCTTCTTAAAAAAAAAAAAAAAAACCAGAGGGGACGTTTATATCATCAGATCTGGCGAATGGATAGCAGTTACTCTGTGATTTCCAAAACTTCTTACGTTGAGTTACAGAAACCGACGAATAATGGAAAACCCAGAACCAAGTTGCTTCCTTCTGATGAAGAAAGCTTCGTCAACGATTTTGACGATACCCGTAATGGCGTTGGCGGTGAAGATGGTGATGATCTCGATTTCGATGTCGCTGATTACTCACTCGTTCATGGCAAATCATCGAGTCAAGGATCTGGGATCTACGGTGCGGTTTTCAATCTCACCACTTCCATTATCGGCGCCGGGATCATGGCATTGCCCGCCACCATGAAAGTTCTCGGCTTGGTTCTAGGGTTTCTTTTGATTATCCTCATGGCTATTTTGTCTGAGATTAGTGTTGAGCTTTTGATTAGATTTTCAGTTCTTTACAAGTCCAAATCTTACGGCGAGGTTGTTCAATTCGCTTTGGGGAAAACCGCTAGGGTTTTGTCTGAGATTTGTATCATTGTCAACAATGGTGGCGTTCTCGTTGTTTACTTGATTATAATGGGCGATGTTATGTCTGGTTCTCTTCATCACATTGGGGTTTTGGATCAATGGTTAGGGAATGGATTCTGGGATCATCGCAAAGTTTTGATTTTGATTGTTATGGTCATCTTCTTGGCTCCTCTCTGTGCTTTGAACAAGATTGATTCCTTGAGCGTTACATCTGCTGCTTCGGTTGCTCTTGCTGTTGTGTTTGTGGTTGTCTGTTTTGTTGTCGCCACGATCAAGCTTATCGAAGGAACTATCGACCCTCCAAGGATGAGTCCTGATTTTGGTTCCAAACAAGCGATCTTGGATCTTCTTGTGGTCATTCCGATTATGTCAAATGCATACGTTTGTCACTTCAATGTTCAGCCGATATACAACGAGCTAGAAGGTCGATCACCGCATAAGATGAACCGAGTTGGGAGAATCACAACAGCGATTTGTGTTGTTGTCTACGCTTCAACTGCTATATCGGGGTATCTCCTCTTCGGCAAGGACACCGAATCAGATATCTTGACCAACTTTGATCAAGATCTTGGTATCCGTTTCAGCTCTGCTGTGAATTACATTGTCAGAATCGGCTACATTCTTCATCTAGTTCTCGTCTTCCCCGTGATCCATTTCTCCTTGAGAGAAACCGTCAATACCTTACTGTTTGAAGGCTCGCCTCCTCTATCCGAAAGCAAAAAGAGATCTTTGGGACTCACAGTGGTCTTGCTGGCTCTTATTTACATTGGCTCGACGATGATCCCAAACATATGGACTGCTTTCAAATTCACAGGCGCAACATCAGCGGTTTCGCTTGGTTTTACGTTCCCTGCTCTTATCGCATTACGGTTAGGGAAACAGAGCAATTCGTTAAGCTTCGTGGAAAGATCAGTGTCATGGCTGATGCTAATCTTGGCCGTAGTGGTTAGCATTGTTGGAACCATTGGCAACATTTACAGTCTCGAGAGCAAATCAGATTGATACTTTATAGCAGTGTTTTTCAGGATCTTGTAGATTTATACAATCAGAGATTCTCAGTCCAATACCGAACCGGAAATCATGCACCTTAAGAATCTCAATCAATGGCGTTTGTTCAGGCTAAGCCTAAAGATTTCCGGTTTGTGAATTATATGTATACAGACAGACACCTGATTCTTATGATATATTTATATATACGCATTTTTTCTGTTTTTCTTAGTTGATTAACTCCTCCTTTTTCTGGCTGTGATTCATATATATTTTTTCTTTTGCGTTTTCTTGGATCGTTTGGGGACTGGTGAATGTAGTTTGAAACCGAGTTGGTCTACTCTAAACCAGAATTAGGTACCGGAGAATGATTCGGATTGATGTACTATTGAAATGAAAGCAAAGTAAGGAAACTTAAGTTGGACTCAAAGGTTATCACTAAAGATCTAATACCCAACTTCAATACACCTCTGATCCGTGAGAGTGAGACCGTGACTTTTGAAAATGTTATAACTTTGATCACCGTGGGGCCTGGAGTATAAAATTATATGTTGATCCAACGACTTTGCCTCGGATTTCTTTAAGCAAATCTTCTAATTCAGTTGTTAGTCTTGGATTATTTTCTTCTTACATGGTATATCTCGTAATTCTTTAGTCAGTAGACAAAATACAAGGTGGCCAAACCGAAAATAGAAGTGGAAGCTAGTGGCTGGTAAGTGCATATGAACATTACTTTTAAATTCCACATGCGCATGACCCGTGATCACCAATCGTGTCTTCCATTTGATCTATATTATTATAATTTATATGAACTGAACTATAAGCTTCTAAGTTTATAAATATTTATCGAATATTCTGATTGTGATAGATGAAAATTTGCATGATTGCATCCACTACTACTCGTGTTGATGTCTTTGTTATCACAGCACTCGATAATAATGGCTTGCATAGTCTCTTAAAAGCTCAATAATTTATCTTCCTCCTTGATTAGAAAAGCTGAGTGAGGATAATCATAAAAAATTTGGATTTGTGTTCATTGACTTAAGTAATAAAATAACAAAAAAATTAATGTATTTATATACACGGATTAATACACAAAAAAATATTAATAGTTGACTACAGAAGCTGAATTTTAAGTTTCATAGTAGTTTTTTTTTGTTATCATTAGTTGACCTAACTACGAAGATAATACTAACTATTTAGTTAATTAATCCGGTAACGAAGAGAAGGCATTGATCTAACTTAATAAAAAGTACTAACATTTTTTAATTAATTTGATCACGTAGACAGCGGAAGATGCCTATAATACTATAATCTATATGGCCATCAGAATGATATTTATTTATTTTCTTCTAAATATTTTGGTGTCACGGTAATCTTCATTGCATGTGTTTTAAAATCGAGTAAATGAGCCGCTCTCATTTATCTTTTTCTTTTCCGTTTAAAGCGAAAACATATTTCAATCCAAAGCAAAATTTATGTTGGCTTTTTTTTTGTTAAGAATCAAGTTTATTACCGTAATATATTCGGTTTTACCCATTTATTTTTGAATAGTAAATGGAACAAAAGATGATAGAGATAGTGATCCCCAAAAAAAGCATAATGTACTCCATTTCCACACAGCGTGATTAATGGACACACCCACACTCGGTCATCTCCATGTGTTGCATCCTTTTTCATGTTTCTTCAATGCTAAAAAGATGTGTGAACTTCTTTATTATTTTCTTATTTTTGACCCCTACTTTTCACTTTGGTTTACTTTAGTCCATCCGTTCACCCACCTTACCAAGCAAGCCCCGAAACTTTTGAAAAAGTCAAAAACAACCCCAAACCGTCTCGCTCCTTTATATATACTCCAAACGACTTTACCTTCCCAAACCACACTCTCACCAAACAATGGATTGGTTCTCATGGCTCTCGAGGACGAATCTCGAAGCTTCTCTAATCTACGAGTACGCTCTCTCTTTCTCAAACAACGAGCTCGAGTACGAAGACATTGCTTACTTCAACCACGAATTTCTCCAGAGCATGGGGATCTCGATCGCTAAGCACCGTCTCGAGATCCTGAAGCTTGCTCGGCGTGATCGGAAACCGTCTCCGCTCACCGCTCGTTCGGTTTTCAGAGTCTTGATTGCGATCAAGAAGACCGGGAAATGCTTCTCCGAGTATGTTCGAGCCTGGATCCGACGAGAGGAATCGTCTCGGGCTCTGGTGCTTGTGTCGAGGAGCACGAGCAGCAACGGGAACGGGAGATGGAAAGGCGCGAGGAAGAAGAGATCGGTGATGCCGATGAGCAACGGAAATGGCGGAAAGGAAGAGAGACTTCTGTTGACGAATGGAACTCCTTGTAGGCTCGATAGCTTCTCCAATCCAAAGGTTTGTTCAGATTATGAAGATGATAATACTACTCATTGGGGGAACAAAGATGTAGAAGCGATTAAGTGGGATTCAATGTTTCAGAACCTTAAACCTACTTGAAATCATCAACTAGATGCTCAGGGATTTGGGGTTTTTAGGATTCTTCCACCAACAGATTTGATTATTTGAGTTTTTGGCTAATAGTTTCAAGTGTGTGATTATCTTCTGTTTGTTAGGCTAATTAGTTTTGTTTATTTGCCTTTTTTTATTGGCTTTGGTCCAACCCTTTCATTACTTTTTATTAGAAAAATTCACATAATGTTATGTTGTAAGGAAATCTAAATTTTTCATTGCACTTTTTAAAAAGACAAGGTTGTTTTACTTGTTTGTGTCAGTTGTTTCAGTTTTATCGGTTATAAGTTGGATCAGTGACTGTAATACAAACATCAAACAGTAGACACGAACAACATTACAACCTCATCAAGAAGCCGGTACAAATAGGTTCTTCCAACCGGTTTTTGGCCGGTTACAGCTGAATAACACAGTGTTACATTTCTTAGAATACACCCAAACAAAAATGTCGCATGATACAGTAGGAGCCTATAATAATAATAATGAAAAGTAGATAGCATCTATGAGTGTATTTATATTATAGTACCTTCTTTCATCTAAACAGTCTCTCTCCCTCTCTGGATATATCAATGACCCGCTGATTGCGGCTGCAACCGGAATGAGCCAGACGCATAGAGGGCTTGATAAACCGGGCGAATTCTCACTGTCAAAATAACGCTCAGTAGAGTTCCAAGCCCACAAACACCGGCTAGAACCAAGAAAGTTACGCGGAAGCAGTCTGGACCAATGCAGGTCATATTCCCTTGCTTATCAGCCTCCTTGTCGTAGATGTATCCGGCGAGAAAGGCCGAGAAAATGGTGGCACCGAGCGGGTTTCCCAGGAGTATGAAGTTGAAGTTGATTCCAAAATGTCTGAGACCAAATAGCTCCGAGATGGTTGCGATAGATAAGAACTGAAACCCCATGCCTATCCCAATTAGAGCAGTCGCAACGTAAATGGACATGGCGTCGTCGATAGCCATGGAGAAGAGGAGGAATGTGAACACCATAACTAGCTGCGCGGCTCCCATCCATATTGTTCTTGGAAGCGTTCTTGACCTGAGAGACAAATAGGAGAATCGTATGAGACAGTTCTTTCCGAGAAAGAAACAGAGAGATTGTTTAGAGTGATATAGACAGAGAGAGATTATTACCTCACAAAGTGCTCTGAAATGGCACCTGAAGCAAGACGGCCTATGAAGTTGAAGAAACTGAAGAGACAGAGGAGTATTGTTGTGTCCTTAATACCAAAAGCAAATCCGATCTGTGCCAAATTGTTGGAGACTGTAACACCTGAACCCATGCCGAGGAAGTAGACAAACCAAAGGAGCCAGAAATCTGCCTTGACAAAAACCTGGCCAAGCTTGAAATCCTCACCTCTTCTGGGTTTTCTCTTCTTCTTCACCGCACCTTCTCCTTCAGCGAGAAGTATTTCCATATCCGACTCATCATCTCCCTCAAAGATAGGCCCAAGGTTTGAAGCTGAGGTAGAAGGTGTAAGCAACGGTTCTTCCTGGGTACCTTCCTCTTTGGCTAGATTGTCTGAAGAACCCAGTGGAGAGCTCTTGGCATTTGAACGGAAAAGTGTCATCTTGATGGGAACCGCAAGAGGCGACAACAAAAGTAACACCATGATAGCCACAAGAACATATTTGAGTATGCTTGGCAGAATAAACACCTCACTCACAACAGTCGTCACAACAAGATAAGCAGCAAAAAGTATACTTGTGGCAAGCAGAAAAGCGAAATACATGGGCTCAGAAGGGTCTTCACCAGTAGCTGGAATACAGGGGCGAATGAAATACATAACAGTTAAGCATATCACCGGAATACCAACAGTAAGAAACAGAAGCAGATTCGTAGCTGAATGATGAAGCACCATGCTGAACAAGACAGTGAATGCTGCACCACTGATCCCAATATAACCTTTGAGAAGTCCAGCGACAGGGCCTCGGCTCATAGGAAAATTCCTCATATTGGTGACAAGAGATGCTGTACCGAACCATGAGTTGCTATTGGTAGCTAAAGCTAGAGCTATAAACAGCTGTCAACAACATTACAAAAACAAATACTAATCTTGTGAGTTGAGAGATCAACGAAACAATAGAAATCTAATCGATGACACAAGTTATAATAGTAAAAGGCAATTAACAAAACCGCAAGATCTAAACTTGATTAAGCATTCGGTGCAATCTAGGGTTTATGATAACCAGAAAATCCCCAAAAATAGAAATTGTTACCAGCCAGAAAGGTAAACCATGAACGATTTGGCTGACGGAGAGCCAAAGAACGCCGAAGCCGAGGAAACAAGAGGAAGCTCCGATGAGAAGCATCGACCATGGAGGAAGCTTGTTACTGGCGTATCCTGGAAGCAGACCCATGTTTTCGCCCAAATCACAAGCGACGCCAAGGATCGTGACCTGTTGCTGGCTAAAACCCAAAACCGATTTGAGAGCGGAGGAGTAAAGCGGGAACGTCGAACCACTTCCCGCCGACACCTGAACCCATGCGGCTGCCGCTAATCCCACCCACGGTGGTCTGCTTCCAGATTTTTCCGCCAGTTTCGTCATCTCCGATCTATCACTATATTCTCTCTTCTGGGATTTTAGAAAAAGTGCTTTGCTTTAAAAGTAATGAACAGAGGAGATGAATCACTCACTCTCTCTTTTTTGTTTGGTGTCTTTCTATTTAAAGTAGTAAACATCTTCAAAATGACGTAATATTTTATACTAACCTTTTTCTTAAAAATTTAAACGTATTTAAAGCTTAAGCATACGTTATAATTTCATATTTTTTTAAAAAAACTCGAGGATAAAAAGCGTGATTCGCAAGAGGTTTAACATTACTTTTGAAACTAATCATATTAAACTCTTTAAGAATTGCGAGTGGGTCTCTAGAGAAGAAGATTCATACTACTATTCTCTCTTTTCACAACTAATGACAAAAATTCTACTATGTTTTTATTTTGTTCCTATTCTACTTTTCTGTCTAAAATTCTACAGTTATAAAAAGCATTAACCAATCAAACACTTTCGGTTATTTTTTGGCTTAGTTTGAAAATTTGTTTTATTGCAATGTGTAAGCAAAACAGAAGAAATTGTTGTTTTGTTAAGATATTGTGCTTGAAACACGTGAGGTCATTTGACTGTGACTTCGTCCCGCGTGGACCGCCCGATACATGACTTTGGTATTGGCATAGATCTTAACGTTTCTCAATTATTTGAATCCCGTGCATGTATTAGGATCCCTCCTACTCTCCTAGGATGACAGGATAAAAATAAATTAAAGAGAGGGAGCCTAACTTTTTTGTTTTGTTTTGTTTTGACTGCTAATATGGACCTAACTAATACGCAAAAATCTCACCTACTTCGACTACGAGGACGAAAAAAAACAATAATTTAGAAAGTTGAAACGGCAGGGACACCTGGTTCTGCACCGGCCCCGAGGCACAAATAGCTATCAGACACGTCAGAATTTCACAAATAGCGCAATAAAGGCATGGTGCCTAGCCCAACGACTCGTCGTAATTACTAATTACATTTAGTTTGGGGTCCAACGACGACGTTTTCCTTCTCAAATTTAATGGTTTCGCTTTATTGAAAAACCTACTCGAGAATGTTCAACATTTGTTTTCACCTCATACTCTCAGAGAATGAAATTAGTAAATAATGATACAAGTAGAGACTTATCTAAAAGAAAAAGTAATAATTTATATTTTCTAAACCAGCAAAAAGAAAAAACACCGAAAATATTATAGCTATCTAGTGAAGTTAGTATCCTAAATTGGTTGTTGATTTATATAAATTTTCCACTTTCTAGAACAAACTTAGTAAACATATAAAAGATCAGACGAATTCTTTCTATACGAATTTATTTTAAAAACCATATCATTAACGTTTCCAACAAAAAAAAAGGGTGATAGTATGGGCTGACTCTTTAATGGGCTGGCTCCAATAATTAAAATCTATTCATCTGGATCATAGACTTTTTGGTTTGAGATCGGTGACGTCTTTCCCTGACGAAAATCAACCAGAAGATGAGTGAGAACATGACTGCACCAGAGAGTGACGCAAGTCCTGCGTAGATCCACTGACTGGTAATGCTGAGTCCAGGGCAGTTCTTGGTGGTTATGTCTCTAAAGGTGTCTCTGACAAAAGTACAGTCCGCAATACTAGCCAAGAAGGGACCATAATGGTCCAACGTGAACGCCACGTTGATCGCACCCATCATCTGGTCGTATGAAGCTGGGGTTAACCTCCCCTGCGTTGTGCAGATTCCTTCTGCGTTCACTTGGCACACATAGCCTTTATAAACCTATATACCAAAACATATAAATCGAATTAACGTTAACATTTTAACATATGTATATCACTCATGAGAATGTGTTTTAGTTTATATGTATGTACCTGAGAAGCATTGGCTAATAGGACTTCGTCCGGAGCACAAGGTCGCGGGTTGTGATTTTGGTCGAGTGGGTTACAGAGGAGAGGAACAAGCGGACCAGACTGGTTGTGGTAGAAAGGGACATTAGGTGGGAACTGATCATGGTTGCTGACATTGACCGTGTACGCATTGGTCATGTCGACGGCCGTAGCAGTCATCGTCTTCGTTATATCCAATGTCTCTCCAATGGTTTTAGCATCTAAACATGGAAGAAGTTGGCTCAATGCTGAGTCCGCCGCTGGGTCATGCACCCATTGGTCCATAGCCATACACGTGTCCGCAACCACACTGGTTTATAACGTAACATCATTAGTTTGATACAAACTTAACAAGAATAAACTTTGAATCTTGAATTAGATCAAGTGACGACGAAATATCATTACTTGTGGAAGACAAGGAAAACGGCGCTGAGGAGGATAGTGGCTGTGACGAGAATCCAACCCAGAATTACCAATCTGATATAATTGAAACACTGATTATATACATTTTGATTTGGATATGATATAATATAACAACGTAGTCAAAGTGTAACTAACTCACAGGTAGACAAGAACTCGCAGTCCACAGAACGAAAACACTGTTAACAAAGAAAAAGAAAAAGAAAACAGACAAAAGATCATTATGTATCTTCAGATCGAAATAGAAATATTGATTTGGGACTTACATAGGCCGAGGAATGCGACTGCGAGCATAACACCAGCGATCACATTTAACACGTATCTCCTGATGAAAACGAGTTTGAGGCAAATCAACAAAACAGAGCTTATATATATATATTTAGCTTGTGATGCAAGTCATTTGTCTAATTCATACTTACACAGGGTTTAGTGCTCCGGTGAGGTAACGAATAGTCTGGTTAGCGACACGATCGGGGTAAGTGATGTTAGACATCTTTATCATGTTGTTGAAATGATCGATGTTACCTCTAAACTCGGGAGGAAACAGGTTATGTCCATCGAGCTGAATGTCTTTAGCAGATTGAATTGAGTCCCATAGGCTCGTTAGCTTAGTCAAAACTCCAGTTGCTTGTTTCACAATGTACATAAACGTCCTCTCCACGCTACCGTAGAACTCGTTTTGTCCAGTGTACAGCATTGCAGACCCAATCCTGAAGATAAACGACATCGTTTCCAAATTAGTAATCTAAGATTATGGAGATTTGAAGTTCATGAGTAATTTGATGGAAGGTTACACGGCGGCTATGGTGAAGAGGAGGAGGAAGACGAGAGAAAGAGTGTAGCAGACGCGAGAGTAGCCGTAGTTCCGGCGGCCACAGCCACAGCAGCAACAACAGAGGCATGAGCAGATGAGAAAGAGTCCGAGCAATACGAACCACGAGATTGCTATAACTATGAATGGAACTGCAGAAAATCCAACGGACTGAAAAAGACAAACAATAATCCTTGAGAAATGCGATGTAATGATTGGATATGAAAATCAATAAAAGACTTACGGCGATGTAATGAGCATTGGTAACGTTCCAACCATCGACGTAAATATTGAAATGGTTGAGAGGGTCAGGCCGCCGTGTCCTCTCCGCCGCTAACACCAATGTCCCATTCCCTCCTTCCAAAATTTGCCTCCTTACTCCTAAAATCATTTTCTTAGATTTGTAATCAAAACAAAAAAAAAGTATACATATTGTTTGTAATAGAAAGCCATTTTTGTCAAATTTGTATTCATAAGAAAAAGGGGTTTTCTATTGAGTTTTCAAAGTATGGAAAAAGGAACAAAACTTTAACCTTGAAATGAGGTAGAGGATGGACGATGATGACAAGAAGAAGAAACTCCATGAGAGAAAGAAACCAAACTCGACGAGATCAAAAGCCCAACGACGATCAGGAGGAGACGCCGGCGACCATGATACGACGGCGTTTCGGTATAAATCATTATTCCTATTTTTCTTGTTTTTTTTTTTGGGTTGGTTTGGTTTCTAATTTCTGAAACTCTAAAAAAGGGTTTATCTATCAAACGATTGAATAAGAATCTTTTAAATCTTCAGAAAATCATGGGGAAAGAAGATGAAACGATACTGTTCCCTTATTATAGAATTTTTAATTTTTATCTTTCAGAATTTTTTACATCCATTGTTATTCTGTTTTTGTTTTAACCGCGTGGAGTACTTTTTAAACTCTTCTTATTGGCTGTGAGCCTGTGACCTCAAATTAATTTCATCTGTAAAAAAACTCCACGCGGTTTCTCTTCCTAGTAAATCCACTTTAATTAGTCTATAGGAAAGAATCTGATTAATTACATTACCCTTATAAACCGATTTATACAATAAAATTGAGATGAATTTGGTAAATACTTTATATTCAGCGTCGACTTGGATTCCACTGGAGGAATACAAGAAGAAACGGAGAATGGCATTAATTACCAATACTGAATTGAGAGAGCTACTATAATTTTGTAACGGAAAATTGCATTTATGATCGTCTGCTACCAATTTTTCCTGCTTTTGCTTTGTCTTGGCCTTTTCTAAAGAACAAGTGTAGAAGAAATAATAGGGTTGGTCGCACTAGGCCGATTGATACAAACAGTAGTAGGCCCATTATAACCAAGCCCATTATAGCCTCCCCGTTTATATATCTACGGGCGCCAACAGAGCGTTGCTATCCTTTAATTTTTCTTCAATCATAGGACTTCGAAACCCTAGGTTGAGAATCAACAACTCTGCGTATCTCTCAAGTAAATTTCTCGAACACTCTATTGTATACATGTGCCCACAAGTATGTGAAAAGTTGTATTTGCGATCGAAACTATTACGGCCATGTTTCGCTCTCTCTTGCTCGGCCGAATAAGGCTTATACTAATGTTTGATTTCTGTTCTTACAGCGATTTGCTTCCCCAATACTAAAATTTTGATTTTCTTCGTTAGGTTTTTAAAAAAGTAGTCTTGAGTGATGAAGAAGGCTACGCCGGAGGAGGCTAGGGCTGTAACATTTGTCTTTTGGGACATCAAACGGTTCCCGGTTCCCCCTGGCTTCAATGCTCGTCGGGTCCGTCCGTGCATTAAACAGTTTTTGGAGAAACATGGCTACTCTGGTCCTCTCACCATCAACGCCGTTGGCATACTATCAGACGTCCATGAAGACATCCTTGGAGCTCTCTCTTCCACAGGAATCAATCTTTATTTCGCGTCTTCGGTTAGTATCTTCTCATCCTCATGCCATTACTATCTAATCTATGGTGGATAGAGAGTTTGAAGTCTTTAGTTTCTTCTGAAACAGGTTGCTCAAGCCTCTTGTCACTTATGTTTAAATGCATTGATGATAATCCACCCCCAGCTAATATTTTGGGCATATGCGATCCGGTAGCTCTCCCTCGACCTGAGAGTGGATACAACCTTTTCGGGCCGTTTTCATATTCATATTCTTCTCCTGAAGAAAACGCCATCAGTTGGATAAGCTTAATTCTGGCAGGTGTGTGTTTGTCCTCTCTCTCTCTCTCTCTTCCTCTCACAGTGTTGTTGAAATAACCACCAAAATCTGTTGCTGAACTTAACTACTTTTGCTTCCCCGCAGAGTCAGAGACACTTGAGGAGGATACGTGCAGTGAAACAGATGAGTCTACCAGCTGGTTTTGCTTAATGCGCGATCCTCGTACTGGCGATCATCTTAGTGGCCAAGGCTTTGAAAGTTTCTCCAGGCATCTCTCTTCTCTAGAACATGAAAAAGAGGTAATTAAGCATCTTAGCCAAACCAGACAGACTTGTATTGTCTTTAACTGTTTTTGAGTCAAACAACCTCTTGTTTTACCTTTCTCACTTCTACTTTCAAGCAGAGGTTTGATTACTTGCCTTTCGAGTCACTTGAAAATAAAGACATAGCCAGGGAGGAGGATGAGAATCCCCCCACCATTGTGAGGAACCAACCAAAGGCAAGTTTTGATATCTGATAACGCTGAGATTTCTGTATTTTACTTTTGTTTGCCTAAATTGACCCGTGTTATTTTCTTTCTCACTTCTGAAGATGGCTACTCCGGAGGAGGCTGTGGCTGTAACATCGGTCTTTTGGGACATCAATACGTTTCCGGTTCCCCCTGGCTTTGATGCTCATCTGGTCAGTCTGTGCATTAAACGGTTTTTGGACAAATATGGCTACTCTGGTCCTCTCACCATCACTGCCGTTGGCCATCTATCGCACATCCCTGATTGCATCCTTCGAGCGCTTTCTTCCACTGGAATCACTCTCTGTGATGCCCCCCGCGGTTAGTATCTTCCTTCATCCGTATGCCTTTCTACATTAATGGACGATGAATACACAGTTTCAAGTCATTAGTTTATTCCAAAACAGGTTCCAAAGACATCAAGTCGCCTATGTCTCAGTGGATTTCTAAGAATCCACCCCCAGCTAATATTTTAGGCATATGCAATCCGATAGGCTTCCCTCCACCTCAGAGTGGATACAACCTTTTCCGGCCGTATTCATATTCTTCTCCTCAACAAGACGCCATCCTCTGGGAAAGCTTAATTCTGGCAGGTGTGTGTTTGTCCTCTCTCTCTCTCTCTGACAGTGTTGTTGAAATAACCAGCAAATCTGTTGCTGAACTAGCTACTTTGTTTTTTTCTTCTCCAGATTCAGGGACACTTGAGGAAGATACCGGTATTCTAAGTGTAACTCACAGGTAGACAAGAACTCACAACATAACACTAGCGATCACATTTAACACATCTCCTGAAGAAAAAAATTCGAGTCAAATAATCAAAGAAAAGCCATTATAACCATAAAAAAAGATTAGCGATGTGTGGCTAAAAATGTGATCCATTGTTTCTGTAGGGTGTTTATCAAATTCATTGAGCTTAACGATCTGCGGAATCCCAATTAAAAAAAAAAAAAACGATTCATCTTTGTTTCAGTTCAAAAAATTCAGATTGTGGCAAAATTGATAACTTGAAAATCTATTCCCCAAACTCCTCTTATCCACTCAACAAGCTGTCACAAATACCCCTCTTTGCTGCTCACTTAGAAGACCCTTTTCTCGCTTCTAGTAACCTTTATACTCGCAGCCAAACTACCCTCATGTACAAGACAAAGATTCACCAAAAAACTCAACATGAAAATGTCTTGAGAAGTCTCTGGATCTCTCTCTTAAACTTGAGACGAATCTGGCAATCACCATTTCATCTCCTTTGTCTTTATGTTGATCTCATAACCACAATTCTACAATTTCATAATTACTGCTCTTACAAAATAGCCACAAAAGTCTGTGGTTGTCACAGAGTGGAACAAAAAAAAAATTAAGTTAGAGAGTGAATTACAATTGGTACGTCTATGTAGAATACATATATCCTTAGGAGGCGACAAACCATCTTCCAAAACCAAATATTCGGATTTTGGCTTAAGACACACAACACCACCAGATTCCTCAAAATCCTCTCAATGAACCTCAGTGTTTTCTCCTCAGTTTTGAGTTGAAACAAAGGCACTTTATGGAAAAGATGATATACCTTGGGGACATTTCTTCAACCAAAGGAGGCTTCTTGATATCAAGACAGGAAGCAGCACCAGAAGCTCCTCTATTGCTTCATGTCTGTTTTGAACACATAACCAAAATGTTTCTTCAAAGGAGTTATCTATTATCTACAAACAAGCGTTTCGTCCAAGGACTTTTCTACCAACTCAGGCCTTCTTCTTGGAGATAGCCCTCTTTCGATCATTTCCTCCTCGTATTCCCTAGCCATATCCAACATTCCTTTCTGAATCAACGCATCAATCACAGCGTTATATGCCGCAGAATCAGGAGTATCCCCAGACTCTTTCATTGTCTTCCACACATATAAAACCGGCTGAAGAAATCCCCATCTCTCAAACTTCCTCATTAGCATCACATAAGTATCCATCTTTGGCCTCACTCCACTCCTTATCATCCTACCAAACAGACTTAGGATCTCACTCGGTTTCTCCAAACGTGCAAAGAGACACATGTAAGTAATCGAATCGGGTTGACAACCTTTCTTAGGCATCTCATCAAGCATCCGATACGCATCCCTCATCCTCCCGTCTTCACATAGAAGCTTAATGATTGTGTTGTGAGTGGCAACATTAGGTTCACAACCTCTTTCCCGCATCTCCCGAAACACCCTGATACCGAATTCAACACCTTGCGACGCTCCAATGGCCCGAATCACAGTGTTATACGCAACCACATCAAGTTTTATCCTTCTACTCTTCATTTCCTTATACAATTTCACAGCTTTCCACGGTTTACCGCTCTTGCACATGATATCCATGTAAATAGAGTACGAAAACAGATCCTTTGCAACGCCTTCAGTATCCATCTTCTCCCAATACTCCTTGCATTTACCCCACCATCCCAATTTCGACCACCCACGAAGAATCAGATTATGAATCTTAGTATTACTAACACTAAAACCATTACCAATGACATTCTTCCCAAAACAAAGCTCTTCAGCTTCAACCACATGCTTATGCTCGCAAAGCGCATCGACCAGATTATAAAAAGATGTTTCATCTCTCAAATTGAAATCATCCAATTTATCATACGCATCAATAGCCTCCTGAACAAGATGAGCCGTCACATAACGCTTAAAGACTATACGGAACGTGACGTGATTCGGCAGAGATTCCGGGTTTCCGATCATGCGGTTAATCAAAGCCCAACAAGTTTCAAACTCGAAATACTTACCCAGAATATCGATCATCCGATTGAATGTCTCGGTGGTATGTCTGAATCCGGATTCTTTCTCGACCCAGTTGAAAAACTCCAACGCCTTTTGCCAATCGTTGATGTAACATGAGAGCGCTTCGCATACTGTTTTCTGATCGTAACTGGACTGATCCTGACATCGAAGCTGCTTCTCATCATCAACACTGGAAATGGGTTTTACAGACAGAAGCCGAACGGAGCAAGGAGAAGCAATTCGAACTCGATTGAATCGCCGCAACAAAAGCATTCTTTTATTTCCCCTCTCCGCTCTGTACGGACGAAATTAGGGTTCATCTAATTAACGGGCGGATTTTGACCCGAAACCCATTTGAAAATCTGACCTGATTACCCGTTGGACTTGGAGTTTTTAATATTTAGACAATTGGGCCGATCTTAAATACGTACGGATCTCTCTTATAGGCCCATATGTCATTAAAAAACTAATTTGTGTAAATTTGTTTTACATTAAACTAATTTTGTCTCAGATATCCATTAATCATAGTTTCTTTATTTGGTAAAGTGCGCGTGAAGCGCGTGGTTTTAAGAAAAAAGGAAAAAGCAACATTCGTTAGAGCACTTCCAATGGTAGTGTCTCCATGAGACATCCATAATAAAACTAAATCAAAAATAAATAAAAAATAATTTTTTAATAAAAAAAAGTGAGACATTTTGAGACACGTTTCTCATTTGAGACATTGTGAAAAACTCTCTCTCTCATACACATGTCACTCCTAGATTGGTTTAGCAAATTTTTTTTAAATTCAATTACTCTAAGATTTATAATATCAATTAAATAGTTTATAAGTTTTTATTTTTTATTTTTTATTTTTCTACAATTCATAAAATAAAATAATCTATATATCAAGCTCCATTATACAAAAGTTTAAATTTTTATTATTATTATTTTTAATTGATATTAGTTAAGGTTAATATAAATATAAATTAATATTTTTAGTTAATAAAATACTATAATATTAGAAAATAAATCTGAGATGAATAATCTGATATTTTGTCAATATTTTGATATTTTGATAAATAATGTGTTATCTTATGTTATTATTTACAAAATGTCCAATATAATTAAAATCTATTTGATAAAATGATGTGTAATTTTAATCATATTGTTTTACAAAATTTCTAATATAATTAAATGATATGTTTAAAATTTAATATAAAATTTTTATTATAATATTAATTTTATGTACAAAACTATCCTTTTTGGTTTTTAGTTTTTGTTTTCTTGAATTTTCTCGGCAATCGAATTCGAGTTCGTGATAGAGATATACACCAACAACTAAAAGCTGACTTAATTGAGCATATATGGCAAAAGTTTGGCGCATCATCAAGTGAAGAGTAAAACATATATTATCTATTTTGGTTTTGTATGTTTTTATTTGCATTTTAATTTATGTTATCATGGTTTTATATGTAATTTTGTGTTTAATTTATATATCTTTATTATGGTTTTATATGTTGTTTAAAATTTAATTTATGTTTAGTTGTGGTTTTAAAAATAATAGTCTCTTTAATATAATATTATTTATAATGAATAGTACTATTAATTAGTGTTTTTAAAATTATTAATATTCATTATATTATTTATTTCTATAGAAAATATAATTATTTTGTTTGAATGACTATATTTAAGATATAATTTGATATGTTTAAAAATATTATTGAAAAATAAATTTAATATAAAAATATAAATATTATATTGATGAGACATCCATAGAGATATCTCACCAATGGAAGTAGAATTTTAGTGTGAGTTTCTCTAAATAAATTAAACATAAAAATATTAATATTATATTGGTGAGACACTCTATGGATGTCTAGTTGTCTACCATTGGAGATGCTCTTACATATTTCAAAATCTCATTAAGATCATTTATTTCCTTTTTTTATCAACGGCTGGGAATTCTCTATTCACCGTTAGATCTAAACTCTAAGTGCATCCAATGGCTATGAATGAGAGCTCCCAAAATATAAATTGTTTTTCTGTTTAACCCGTTGGGTCCTCTATATACGAAGAGGTCTCTCATATTTCTTCACCAAGAGAAAAAGAGTAAAGAGTGAGCGTTCTAATGGCGACGGAAGCAAACATATATGAACAACGAAGAGAAAGAATCTTAAGAGATAGAGCGTTATAATGGCGACGAGGGCAAACATACATACATACATGAACAAAGCAGAGGTATTTTTTGGCCTTCTTCTGAATCTATGAATCGATCTGATTATTGACTGAGTGATTTGAAACGATTTTGGTGTGAATCTTTTTGTTTTAAATGTTTGTTTCGTTCTATTGAGTGCCCTAACTCGGTCCTGATTTGAGTATTCTTATGATAAATCGTGCTGAAGTTTGTGTCCTATGGAGCCTAAATGTTATTCTTAGAGATTTTGGTTTTGTTGTTGCTTCTATAGATGGAGAATATGGTTCACTTCCTTTGGGTGATGCATTATGATGTGTAAGTGATCTCAAACTCCTTTTCTTTACTTTTTTTTTTTGGGTGTGTTTGAAGTTTATCCTTAACTAATAAATAAATCCTTTATCAGATGTCGAGCTATTCAGTGCCAGCCTGTGGAAATTTATCCTTGAACTGTGGATAGCACTAACAACACTTATGCAGTGTAAGTAGTTCCCAATAAATGAATCTCATCTTCTTCTTCTTCTTGTTTGATTTTTGAATATCTTGTTAAATATGGTTTTAACATGTTTCTTTAAGCCTGTAACTGTTTATGTGCTTTGACATTTGTTTCGCTTTTTCTTGTAGTGGTTGCCCTCTGTTCAACCAATAATGAAAATCATATCTATAAATCATCTCAAAACCAGTGGGAGAGGTTACATGTCCTCCAAAAGGTAAAACTTTCTGTCTCCAATTTCCATTTGAAACTATTGAACCACCTGCATTGCTTGCTTTTCTCTTCTTGGGAATTCTTACTTTCATATAGACGCTTCTATAATCTTTTGGTACGATTTTAAGACGATTGTCTGTCTTTTAACTTTTAAGTGGTTCCTCTATATAGCTTTCCAGGTCTCCCTGTAGGAAGAAAAACAAAGTCTTTGTTGTACTAAATGGCGAGATTCATCCACGTCAGCAGTACCCAGATTCCGGTTGCGTTTATGTCCGCAACCAAACGGAGCTTTAGGAGAAGAGCGTCTGTGATCAGATGTGCCGCCATCACTCCGAAGAAACGGTACACCATCGCGGTGCTTCCCGGCGATGGCGTCGGTAACGAAGTCATCCCAGTCGCTGTGGATGTTCTTTGTTTAGCTGGGTCTCTTGAAGGTTCCGTCTTTCTCATTCTGTTGCCTAATTTATCTGATTTTCGAACTGAAATCGTGTAAGATTCATAATTCACAGTGATGTTTTTTTTTTTTTAATATCAGGGATAGATTTTAGCTTCAAGGAGTTGCCTATAGGAGGTGTTGCTTTAGATCTTGTCGGAGTTCCATTACCGGATGAAACATTGACAAGGGCAAAGCAATCAGACGCTGTTCTTCTCGGAGCTGTTGGATGGTATTGTATTACCGTAACTTTCATTCCAAATTGTTTTTCTTCACCATACCATATTTGCATGTTGGATTATCTCAAGTTTGGATTTTTGAATTGAAGGCCGAAATGGGATAACAATCCGAAGCATTTGAAGCCGATAACGGCCTTGTTGCAGCTTCGTGCGGCTCTTAAAGTATTTGCCAATTTAAGACCGATTACAGTGTTACCACAGGTACACAGATCATTGCTTATGTTCATCAAAGCCTGTAACTTCATAGTCTTTTGAACTTTTGATATATGTCTTAGTTGGTTGATTCCACTTATCTGAGAAAAGACACAGCTGAAGGGGTTGACCTTTTGATCATCCGGGAGCTTACTGGGGGTCAGTGATCAGTGTTCACATAGATATATAAATTTGGTTTTTATCGCTTTTATCATTTTTCCATTGTTTTGGTTATCTAAGATTGTGTCTTTCTTTGCTGAATACAGGTATATACAATGCGCATCCTCGGGGGTTTACCACAAATGAACAAGGTGACGAAGTTGGCTTTTGTACTGAGTCCTACTCTGCAAGTGAGGTATCATGTTTTCGCATTTATGAGACTTTTAATCTTGCAGGAAATGTATTTGACGTCTTGTTAATGTAAAGGAGTTGCTCAATAGCATTCTTATTTCTGATTCTGCTTAGGTTGATCACATTGCCCGTGTTGCATTTGATATTGCTAAGCAAAGGCGCGGTAAACTGTGTTCTGTTGACAAGGCCACTATCTTGGAGGTAAATTCTTGATAACTGCAGAAAACTTCCAGCTGAATTAGAAAATGATGATATAGATCCAGAATCCATGTTATTTTTCCTGAACTTTCTTAGGGTGCAGGGATCAATGTTGTGGAGGAAAAGAGTCACAGCAATGGCGGCTTCTGAGTATCCTGAGGTTGAAGTGAGTCATCTGCTGATTGACACCGCTGCGATGGATCTTGTTCGGCACCCAAGACAGGTTTTCTTTTAGTAAAGCTAGTCCAGTTTGAAACATTTTTTCCAGCTCCTCAGGTCTGACTGCAATGATTCTTACAAAACTGCATTTTAACTTTGTGATGTTGCAGTTTGATACCATTTTGACTGGGGTTATGTTTGGTGATATTCTGTCTGATCTCGCGGCTATGATCCCCGGAAGTGTAGGATTGCTTCCATCTGCTGCACTTGGTGATTCAGTACGATGCAGCATGATTCATATCTTCTTTTTTTTGCTTTTCCTTTACAGTGATCTCATTTTCTTGAAAAAGATGTCTCTCATATTATGACGGATATAGGGGCCTGGAATTTTCGAACCTGTGCATGGATCTGCGGCTAAGCACTACGGAAAGGTTGCCTCTGGACCATCATATGTATATGATACTCGACGCGAAACCACACATGTGTATATAATAAACATGTTGACATTGCGAATTGCAGGACACAGTGAATCCCATGGCGGCTGTTCTATCAGCTGCAATGCTCTTGAGATACGGATTGAAAGAAGAAAACGCAGCAAAGAGAATAGAAGAAGCAGTTTCTGATGTCTTGGACCGTGGATTCAGAACTAGGGACATTCACACTTGTGGAACCGTAAGTTGACCTTTTTTTTCCTCTTCTCTTGGCAGAAAGTAGGATGATTGTTCCAGTAATATGTAAAAATGGAACTAAATGTTACATTTCTGATGAGCAATTTGGTTTCTGGGCAGACATTGGTAGGTTGCAAGAGAATGGGCGAGGAGATTCTGAGATCCCTTGATGCTAGCTGCAAAAAGCTATAAACAAAAATTCAGAGAGTGACATTGAGAAATTCAATGTTTATTTCTATCTGATAAAATTGTTTGAGTTATAGATATATTCCTAAGATCGCTGAGAGAAAATGAGTAGCTTCAACAAAACAGAAGAGTGTTAATTTTGTATGTGGTAATGTTAGGGTGTTACTTACAAACAAATTAAAAAATTTGGGATCAATTGTGAAAATAAAACAATGTGTAAAAAGGACCCATAAATGCAAAGCCCTGAAGTCTTACTTACAGTATCAGCCTATCAGGTTCTAGCACCCATTTGACCGAAACAAAAGCAGAAAGACGCAAAATCCTTTGTCCCTAAAATGGCGGCGGCTCTGCAGACGAATATCCGGCCGGTGAAGGTTCCGGCAACGTTCAGAGCTGTCAACAAACAATCTTTGGCACCCTTTAGAGTAAGATGCGCTGTTGCATCCCCTGGGAAAAAACGATACAACATCACTCTCCTTCCCGGTGACGGCATCGGTCCGGAGGTTGTCTCTATTGCCAAAAATGTGCTTCAGCAAGCTGGATCCTTGGAAGGTTCTCTCTTTTCTTCTTCTTCCCCTCTTCTATTTTTAACATCGTTCCGTTGTTTTGTTTCCGCATTGACCGGGAGATCAATTAGCAAATGAACTGAAGTTGGTGCTACTGAATCGAAAGACGTTGGAACTAGGAATTGACTTGGGTTTTTTTTTTTTTTTTTTTTTGTTTAAATTTAAAATCTGGAACATGGGATTCTAGTATCCTCTATTTCCTGTATCTGTAGAGATTAGAATTTATGGTCCTGGGCATTGTAGTTTCTTAGTTACGTCTGTGCTATGTATCAGGAGTGGAATTTAGCTTCCGCGAGATGCCAATAGGTGGAGCTGCTTTGGATTTGGTCGGAGTTCCCTTGCCGGAGGAGACCATCGCAGCTGCTAAAGAATCAGATGCACTGCTTCTTGGAGCCATTGGAGGGTCTGTCTTCTCTCTTGTCCCACTATTTTTGTTGACTCTCAATTTTTTTGGGAATTACAGTTTCTCATTTTTTCATGTTGGTATAATTTAAGGTACAAGTGGGATAACAATGAAAAACATCTGAAGCCTGAGACGGGGTTACTTCAGATTCGTGCAGCTCTCAAAGTCTTTGCAAATCTGAGACCTGCTACAGTTCTCCCACAGGTAACCATCCTTAGAAATTTCTTTCTTTCTTTCTGTGAAACTCAAATTTTTCTTCTTTATACAGTTAGTGGATGCTTCCACCTTGAAGAGAGAAGTAGCAGAAGGTGTTGATCTAATGGTTGTAAGGGAGCTTACAGGAGGTCAGTTTAATTAGTTTTTTAAAACTGATCGTAGTTCTTGTCTTTCTCGTTCAGTCGTGGGACAGTATCTTAAAATGTGATGTCTCATGGTTACAGGTATTTATTTTGGAGAGCCGAGGGGCATAAAGACCAACGAAAATGGCGAGGAAGTTGGGTTTAATACTGAGGTTTATGCTGCTCACGAGGTACTCTATTAGAAAACTCAGATGCAGATTTCCGTGGACTGATTGTTAAGTACTACGGTCAAATTCTAATAAAGCATTTCTTATTTTCCTTAGATTGATAGAATTGCTCGTGTTGCCTTCGAGACTGCTCGAAAACGGCGTGGCAAGCTGTGTTCTGTTGACAAAGCTAATGTCTTGGAAGTACGGTTGCTAATTACGTTTTCTTTGACTTGTTTTCCTCTCTCCTGTTTCCTATGCAACGCATTTAACACTGAAGCCAATGCGATTTTCTTTTATGCAGGCCTCAATCTTATGGAGAAAACGAGTGACAGCATTAGCCTCTGAATATCCTGATGTTGAGCTGTCACATATGTATGTTGACAATGCCGCGATGCAGCTTGTCCGTGACCCAAAACAGGTACATGTATTTGCCAAACTAGTCAGCTTTGATGTGGGACTTGTGTAAATCCTTACAATGATTTGATTGTTTCATAAATGCAGTTTGACACAATCGTCACAAACAACATTTTTGGTGATATATTATCCGATGAAGCTTCAATGATCACAGGAAGCATTGGAATGCTGCCATCTGCTAGTCTCAGTGATTCGGTATGATATAAAATAATCTGAATGCAGCAGTATAATCTAGTCTGAACATAAACCCACCCGCCATGTTTAATACAGGGACCTGGACTCTTTGAACCTATACATGGTTCTGCACCTGATATTGCTGGACAGGTTCTAACTCTATTCTTCAAACAAACATGGGTTTTCTTCACTGATTTCAAAACTACATCTATGACAAAAAATAAAGAGCACAACTTGTCGATTCTTTGAATTTTCAGGATAAGGCAAACCCATTGGCAACCATTCTCAGTGCTGCGATGCTTCTGAAATACGGACTTGGAGAAGAAAAGGCAGCCAAGAGAATTGAAGACGCAGTGTTGGTTGCTCTGAACAACGGATTCAGAACTGGAGACATTTACTCCGCGGGAACTGTATGTTTCTTGAACAACTCTTATAACATGTTTCCTTATCCTTAAAAACGTGTTTGAAACGTTTAAACAAGCGGCAACAATAAACAGTAGTAATATTTTTTTGTCTTTTTGAATGGTGTATGCTCAGAAACTGGTGGGCTGCAAGGAGATGGGAGAAGAGGTTCTGAAGTCAGTGGACTCCCAAGTTCCAGCTTCTGTTTAATATTTGTAGAAACTTTGAAGAGTTCATTTTCAACAATAAATGTTGTACGCAAAGAGTATCGGTTTCATCAGCGAAGTTTTCTGTGATTTTTAAAATGTGAAATTATGAGAGGGACTTATTTGATCGAATTGAAACGTTGGTTTTCTGAAAAATAAATATCCTTGTTGAGATAATGACGTGTCAGAGTATCATTGGACACTAGTATTATTGACTGCGAGAGATCTCCGTTTCAACGCCGTAGTAGTAAAAAGCACGAGACTCGGAGAAAATGTCTACTAACTCCCCTTTTGGCAAAACAAAACCTCTTATATCCCAAATGAGTCTACATATCCCTTTCTTGTTTAATGAAAAGTGTGTAGACGAAAATACCCCTCCTTCTTTTCATCTAATTGTTTAATGAATTTTAAAAAAACAAGAAAAAAAAAAATCGAATCCAGAAAAAAAAAAAAACAAACGAGAGCGTCTCTCTCGAGCTTCATCTCCGGCGAGCTGCATTGTTGCCGTTTCTTCCATTCCGGCGAGCTTCCGGCGAGCTGCGGTGAGACAGGTTTGTTCCTTTAGCTGCATAGAGCTTGAAATAGAAGTTTAGGATGTAGACATATACTAAATAGGAGATTCAATTCAATTAGATTTAGGTAATAGTGTTTGGGTATGCACATTGGAAGTTTATGCATAGTTTCTGGGTCGACTAGGTCTGTAAATGGGTAAGAGATGGATTACAGGACCTGAATTATAGTGAATTGTAGTTTTGAACCCGAAACCATTCGATTTGAGTTCTTGTCGCGAAAGTACAACTGGTAGAACTGGGTAGAATTGTACCTGAATCTATTGAAAAATATATACGTAGTATTACTGGTTATACTAGTGTTACCCAGATGTATGTAGTATGACTAGTTACACTAGTATTACCCATTTACATGTAGTATGACTAGTTGCACTAGTATTATCCAGATGTATGTAGTATGACTAGTTACACTAGTTTTACCCATATATATGTAGTATTACTAGTTACACTAGTATTACCCAGATGTATATAGTATGACTAGTTATACTAGTATTACCCAGAATTGTAGTACAACTAGTAAAACTAGTATAACTGACACAGTTTATGTATTATTTTTGCAGGATACAATGAGTGAGAACGTGAACATATATTTTAAATGCAAAGGTCGCATGTATACCTTGATGATGAAGACATCAGGGGAGAATATAACTCTCTCCATGTTAGTAGGTAGGATATGCACGAAGCTTGGGTTAGATGAAAGTAAGGTTAAATTGCAACTGAGGTATAATGCAGTGTTGTTGGGATCAACTGAAGAGATTTACATTTGTGATGATGAGGATGTCGGTGTCTATATATCTTCAGGTGAAAATAACCGTCGATATGTTTTGTATGTGGAGGTCATCACTCCACCAGAATTGCCCGAGCAACTGTCGAGAGTGGAGGTCATCAATAAAAGTTCGGTTGGTAAGAACTATGCGGAATTGGATACAAAAGAGGATGAAATGAGAGATAATGCTGCCATCGTTTTGTGCGAATGTGAGGAACAAGGAACAGAACCAAAAGAGGCAATAGTGGAGGTTGATGATACTCAAGATGCTGAGATTGGATCACAGGATGAATCTATGGATATACATGATGATAGGGGTGATGAATACGTTGAGCCACCGCCTGTTGTAGAAGCTGGTCGGTTTAAAAAGGAATGGGAAGACGGTATTGGTTTGATTTTACGACAAGAATTTCCAAGCAGGGCGGCATTGCAGGAAGTGGTGGACAAAGGTGCATTTGCTAACAGTTTTGGTTATGTTATTAAAAAGTCTGATAAGGAGCGGTATTTGCTAACGTGTGCTAAAGAAAGCTGTGCTTGGCGTATACGAGCTACAAATATTCGGAATACAAGTATTTACTCGATTAGAAAGTACAACAAGATGCATACTTGTACCCGGTTAAGTAAGAGTAAGACAAGGATGAGGAAGAGGAAAGGTACCCCTGAATTAGTAGCAGCGCTTCTTCATGATACTTTTCCAGGACAAATGGAAACTCCAGTTCCTAAGGTTATCATGGAGCTTGTTCAGACGAAATTAGGTGTGAAGATATCGTACTCCACCGCATTGAGAGGGAAAAGGCAAGCCATTTGTGATTTAAAAGGTAGCGCGGAAGATAGCTACAAGGATATCAATTGTTATTTGTACATGTTGAAGAAGGTAAATGAAGGTACAATAACATATCTGAAATTGGATGAGGAAGATAAATTTCAATACCTATTCATAGCTTTGGGAGCTAGCATTGAAGGCTTTCAAGTGATGAGGAAAGTGATAATTGTGGATGCAACACATTTGAAGAACGGATATGGTGGTGTTCTAGTATTTGCCTCAGCTCAAGACCCAAATCGTCATCATTATATCATAGCGATTGGCGTACTCGACGGTGAGAATGATGCTAGTTGGGGATGGTTCTTCGAGAAGCTGCTAACAGTTGTACCCGATACTCCAAAATTGGTATTTATGAGTGACAGAAATTCAAGCCTCATCAAAGGCATACGTAATGTGTATTTCGCGGCTCATCACGGGTATTGTATTTGGCATTTATCCCAAAATGTGAAAGGTCATGCCACTAACGTCAACAGAGACGTAGTCGCATGGAGATTCATGGAGTTAAGTCGGGTTTACACCATGGCTGAATTCGAGAGGGAGTACAGAATTTTTAAGCTAAGATATCCTTCTGCGGCCAATTACTTGGAGGATACAACCGTGAAAGAAAAATGGGCTAGGTGTTGTTTCAGAGGACAGCGATACAATTTGGACACAAGCAACTGTGTGGAATCTTTGAATTCAGTTTTCCTCAATGCAAGGAAGTATTCTTTAATACCCATGCTTGATGCGATCATGTCCAAGATTTCTGTTTGGTTTAAAGAACATCGGAAAGAAGCCGCGTCAGGATCTAATGAGAATAAGTTGGTGCCTTTAGTGGAGAACTACTTGCATGATTTATGGGTTGAAGCTGAGAAACTAAAAGTGACGGAGCTAAACACATTCCAGCTTGAATACAATGTCAGGGGTAGTGAAGGGAAAGAATATTTTGTCAACTTGCTCTTGAAAACTTGCAGTTGCAAGGTGTTCGATATCCAAAAGTATCCTTGTGTGCATGCACTAGCCGGTTTCATTGCCTTCGAGAGCGATACAACAAGAACTCGAAGTATGGAAATACATGAATTGGTTTCAAAGTATTATTGGGCGGAGATGTGGGCATTGGCGTATTATAGGACTATTTATTTAGTCCCGGATAAGTCACAATGGGATATCCCAGATGAGATCAAAGCGTTGAAGGTATTACCTCTGCCTCGGAAAAAGAAGAAGGGTAGAACAAAAGTGTTGAGGCTTCCATCCACCGGGGAAAGGCGTCCAAAACGTCAAAGGACTCAAAACAAAAGGAGGCCGAGACAATCGCTGCAATGGTTGTTATTTGGCAACCATAGTATTTGATTTTATCTGAACTTTATGATTTGTAAACCATATTTGCGTTGTACAACTATGTAACACTAGATTTGCCTCCTGTAATACTATGTTTTAATTCACTGGCGTAAGGGTAATACTAGTATAACAGGTATTACTAATGAAAAAATTAGGTAACACTGGTATAACTAGTATAACTACTGAAGAAAATTATGAAATTTGATATTTCTAATTTTTTCAACACCAACTATTACATAGACTATTAAATGATAATGAACTCTTACAAATGATTTAAAACGAAGTAAGATAGAGAAAAAAAAAATGTTCATGTAAGATTGTTTTATGAGACTACATCCAACATATTCCTTATACTTTTAAGCTCACTTTTGATATAAACTCCAATTTAGGATTGATATTTTACAATTTTATATATTTTTAACATTTGATTACATTAAACCTTTAGAATTCAATAATAATAGAGTTTCCTCAAGTGTACAACTAGATAAATCATTTTTAAGGATGTGTAATACTGGTTAAATTTGAAAACACCAAAAGTAAAACTATGTGGACAATTTGTACAACTGAAAACTAGGGTACAACTACGTTAAAAAAAACGGCGCACATGTCACAAAGACTGCGCACACGTGGATTTGACTGCGCACACGTGGGTTTGACTGCGCACACGTGGGCATATAATTCCAATTTCTCCCCCCAAATTTTTTTTCCCTCCAATTTTTCCCCCCAAAATCAATTAAACCCAAAATCAACAAAAACAAATAACTAAAATTCTTTTTTTCTCCACTTCTAATTCACAATCGAGACTTCTCCTCTCTCTCTCTATCTCGAAATTCACTCTCTCTCTCTCCAAGCTCAAGAAAACGAGATCCAACTTTGTTCCTTCTCTTCAATCTTTCTCTCTTTTTCAATTATGGATCGATTATGTGAGAGAGACCCATGGTATGATGAGATGAAGAACGCTAAGAGGATTTATGATCAATTAGAAGAAGTCGGAATGATGGAAGGAATTCCGAAGAGATGTCCTTGTGGTGGACGCATCCTCGACAAGATCTCTGAGAACGATGGTGACAAAGGGAAGAGATACTATCAATGCAACGTGTATAAGGTAAATAGATAGTATCATTATTGACGCGAAAGTAAAACTGGTAGAACTGGTAGATCTCTGAGAACCCAGATGTATGTAGTATTACTAGTTACACTAGTATTACCCAGATGTATGTTGAATAATTGATCTCGATATAGAATTCTTGTATTGTAGAATGATGGTTTACACATTCGGAAACTTTGGGATAAAGCTATGGAAGAAGAGGTGACTAACTTAAGGGAGGAGGTTGATACCCATCACAAAAAGATTCAAAGCTTGGAGTACTATCAAGAAGAAATGCGTTCGGAGTTGAAAGGTAATGGTAAGGAGACCCAAAAACTGAAGGAGTTAGTCGCTCATCTAGCGGAGAAATGCGTTCGGAGTTAGTCGCTCACTAATGTGTAAGCTTATTCTTTGCTTTGTAAGACTTGTCTATGTTTTGTAAGACTTTTCTATGAATTGTAAGACTTTTCTATGAATTGTGAGACTTTCTTATGCTTTGTAAGCTTATTACCATTAGCAGTATTACTAGTTTTACCCGTATTCCTTAATTAGTAATACCAGTTTTACTAGTATTACCAGTATTACCATTACCAGTATTACTAGTTTTACCCGTATTCCTTATTTAGTAATACCAGTTTTACCCGTATTCCTTAATTAAATTTATAAAACTAACTTAACAAATCCAAATTCAAATCCTAACAAGACAAATCCAAATTCAAATCCTAACATAATAAATCCAAATTCAAATCCTAACATAACAAATCCAAAACAATTAACATAACAAATCCAAGTTCAAATACAAACATCAAAGAGACAAATCAGTCAACCAAGCTGTCTCTTGCTCCGAGTCGTCATCTTGGTGACTTGTGGGTCACCATCCTTCTCTTGGGTTGTATCTTTTGGGTCACCATCCTTCTCTTCGGTTGTCTCTTTCGGGTCACCATCATTCTCTTGATTCTTCTCTTCTTGATCCTGCCATTGAACAAAGTTATATCACAGTAATACCAGTATTACTCAGTTATACCAGTATTACAAATCGTACCTTTCTCTTATCTACTTTCTGCGCCTCCCTGAATGCTTCCAACGATTTAACTCTTTCATCCAACGAGTTAACTGTATCATCCAACCCTGAAATCACTACTAGGATTTCATTCAGCTGATCTGTCATCTCAACTTTCATCTCTTGAATCATCTCCACCACAGCAGCCAAACTCGGGAGTTCTTGTCCATCTACTGCGGGAATATCCTCACCACCCGCAATCTCTGGTCCTGCGATGATTCCTCGGGCCTGTAGATCCTGTTGGTACAGCTCTTCAAACCTGATTAGACGGCCCTCTTTATGACGCTTCAACCAACTTTCCACCACCGGATCAGCCATGTCAACGTCGTGTTCTTCTTCCGTGATTGCTCTCATAAGTGCGTGCTCTTCAATTCTAGGTGAGACGATACAATCAATGACCTGTAAACATAAACAAATATAGATTATTATAATTAAATAGAATAGCAAACGTTTCATAAAACAGAATATATAGGATAACTAACCTGAGTTGTACCCAATTCATGATTAATAGTATCAAGAGGAATGCCTTTCAAATGGTTCTTCTTGAACTTCACCTTGCACATCCTAGGACATCCCTCATCTGCTCCTGCAATGTCCTCAATGAATTTTTCCCTCAACAGTGGGATTGCCTCGAATGCAAGAAGCTACAGAATAAAAAAACATATATTTAGAATCAACAGTAATACCAGTATTACTAGTTTTCTAATGTGCAGTATTACCAGTTTTCTTATATGCAGTATTACCAGTATTCCAAACAATCACCAATTACTATAACTTGTAACTAACCTCTATCGGAAGACAGAAACCCGGAACTGGCCATATGTACTTCTCGTTCTCGGTGACAAAACCATTGAAATGATTCATCGTGTGTGAGATGGTATCTAACATATAATCGAAAGAATACCTCCCCCACTGAAAATTCCTACAAAACGCAAGATCATTCACAGCCTTTAAACAAAATTGATCCACTTGAGGTGCCTTTTCCCCGGTCTTGATAGGCGCCACAATAATGCTGGTTAGGAAATAAAGGACCATCATCCTCAACCTATCTTTTGATCTGTCACCCTTCGGCACCATTTCTATGAGCTTCTTTCTCACGTCTTCGCGTTTCACAACAGGAACTTTCTTGAAATGCTTCGTCTTGAACTCCATACTTCCCACATTTTTATAATCAAGCGCATAATTCTTGCAATTGAAGCCCGATATCAATGCATGTTCCGATATACCATATCGGATTGGAACGCCATTGACGATGAACCACACTTCTTTCTTCCTATCAATACGCGCCGTGCGAAGAAGGAGCATCCACATCCCCATAAGTCGGTGGTTTGGGTCTCTTGGCATGTGGAAGACGTGTTGGAAACTCGGATGATCCTCAAAAAATGCCCTCTCAGACTTGCTCATCGGAGGCTCCAACTCATCAAATGTAGTCAACACTTCGTGAATATAGCACCGAGTTGATAGCTTGATTTTCTTCACATATTCCGAAGGCGGGAAATACATACTCAGCGGTGGTATTGCTTCTGTTTCCTCGTCGATCTCCTGCAACAGAACAGACATTCATCCATATATCATTAATCTGCGAATAGTATTACCAGTATTACCCTGAAAATATACACATAGTTGTACTCCAGTAATACCAGTTTCACCAAGAATTCAAACACATAGTTATACCCAAGTAATACCAGTATTACCCAGAAATCAAACATATAGTAATGCCCTAGTATTACCAGTTATACCCAGAATTCAAACACATAGTATTCCCAGTTCTACCAGTTATACCAATACATAATAGTTTTATCCTGTTCTACCAGTAGTACCCAAATATACACATAGTTTTACCCTGTTCTACCAGTTTCACACCATTCAAATACTTACCATAGCATTTTCGGACGCATTTTCCGGCGCAATCTCATCCTCCTTACTCTCATCGGAGGAGGACTCTCTGTCCAAAGATCTACTACCATCATCGGAGGAGGACTCCTCTCCTTCCTCATTCCCTTCCTCATTCCCTTCTTCTTTCTCTTCTTCTTTGTCGTCTTCTTCTTCGCCACTCTCTTCTTCCTCATTCTTCTTAGAATTTTCTTCCTCATTCTTGTCAGACTCTTCTAAAACCGGACTTAAGGTCTCCGGGACTTGTTCTCCCTCAATTGCCGTCGGGGATGGCTCCTCCGTCGAGCCTGGCTCCACCGTCGTTGTGGTGGATGGCTCCACCGTCGGGGATGGCTCCTCCGTCGAGCCTGGCTCCACCGTCGTTGCCTTTGCTAATCTCTTCCTCTTTAACCCTTTCTTTGGAGGCATTATCGGAGAGGTTTCGAAACGGGATACAAGAAACGAGAAAAGGAATCAATAAAGTTGGAAGATGATTTCGCAATCTCTCAATTACAGTTTCTGGGAAGATTTGAAGAGGAGAGGAAGTCGGAGCAAGATTTGAAGATTTGAAGGTTAGGGTTTTCTCGTTTTCTCTTTGAATTGGGGAAAAACAAAAGAGAGAAAACGTAAAGTATATGGGGATGGGTGGGTTGAGAATGGATCGGGTCTGGTTCGAATAGATCCAGGTTTTAGCAGTAATATTGAGGTTTCGGTTGGGGTATATCAGTAATATCCATAGTTTTCGATTTAATTTTAAATAAAAATAAAATTGTGTTTTATTAGGGGAGATATGAGACGATGCTTGGACAAAAGGGGACTCACGAGATAATTTCTCCGAGACTCGTCTTATTTCTTTGGCGGCAAGAGATGATGATGCCTTCAACTTCAACCATAATCGCCGGTGAAGAATCGGTAGTACTACCACCGGTGGCAAGCGTTTCCGGTGAATCGTCTCTGTCCGATATGACTCAGACAGTTCATTTTTCCTCTGGAAACCCTAGAATCGGCGAGACTCGCGGGGTCATGCATCTATTTCCCGACGATGCCGTTTCGTCGTCTTCTTCATCCTCCTCCTCCTTGAATCTCCCTGTAAGGTTCCTCAA